CCTAAGACCATGTTATGTTGTTGGTTCTCTCGTGTCATCCTTCTTGTCTTTGGCGTTTGGAAGTTCCCATGTGTTGGACACCACGGATGCACTTGCTTGTTAGGAGTCTCATGATACAAACTGCACGGCAGGCATCGGCACTAGCGATTATACCCCTTTACTTGATAGAATTAGCGTTAAATTTGTTAGATCTTAAAGCATCCTTTGCCTTCTTCGATGACACATTGGTAAAACTCCGTACCCTCGCGCACTCCATGGGCTTCCCTGGATACTTGATATTTTGAGCTGATATCGTTCTCCTTTTTCCCTCATCCGGTACCACTGCAGCATCAGCTCACAGGAGTCCAAAAAGTCGTTTCTCCAAACCCTGAAGCGCCTCTGACTTCTTCTTCACGTTCTCATCATTCCATTCGCCCTCCTCAGTAACGTAAGCATCAATGAGCCCTCCAGCACACCACTCAAAAGACACGTTTCTCACTTGCACTTTTACCTGCGCCTTCTCCTTTTCTTCATGCTTCTTCTCTTTCTTCTTCCCCTCAAATCTTGTGGCATGAGCAAAGTTCAATACTGTCCTGGCAGCCCCTCTAATCCGCTTACTACTGCCCTCGCCCATCCACACCCTCGTCACTTGTTCCAAACCCTGATCCTCCACCACGTGCTGTTCTGGCGGTCCAGGGAGTGCCACCTTTTCCGAGTCGCAAAGGACTACCACCTTGGCTTCTTTTGCGTTGTGTTGAGTGGCGAGGAGAACAGACAGCGAGCCCGTCTTGTTACTCACTGAGCCGTCTGAGGCGATGCGGTCGGCGCCTATCACCACCAGCTGCACCCCCCGAGTGGCATGACAGGCCGAGGCATCGGTGTAGATGGTGATGCTGTGTTGGCGGTCGTTATTGGATGCCAACTCTGTGGAGAGAGCTTTGGCGAGGCTGGCGGCGAGAGAGACGCCTTCGAGCAGGGGGCGGGATTCAAGGACGCGGATATCAAGGACGAAATTGGGGAGAAGGATGGGGAGATGGGAAAGGGCGTGGGTGATCGTGGAGGACTCTGACAAGGTCAGTATAGAAAGAGGTTTTTGAGGTGTATTGAAGGAGGGGAGGTTACGGGAGATGTAGGAGGCGAAGGATCGGGAAATCTGGTCATTGGTCAAGGGGCGGGCAGAGATCTCCCGGTCCAAAACGGAGACGATGGTTGATTTGAGTTGCTTTCCGCTGCTCTTGGAGCTGGTGGCATGGTCCTGGAAAACTTCAGCCTCAACGGAAGCCAAAGCAGACAACAAAGCAGACATGATGGCCGCGCCCATACTCTCCCGTCCATTCTTCCACAGATGCCATGCAGCCATTCTAATTTCCTTCCACCATTTGGCCTCTTTCCCATCTCCATTCTCTCCATCCAAGACATCGTCGTCCATCTTGTCGATCACATCCCGCAAGATACGCAAGGCATCACCTGCCATTTGCCTCGCCCCACTCACATAATCCTCTTCCAGACGTTTACACCCCTTCGCCAGCACCTTTCCGGCTTCAAGTCCAAGATCAATCTCAAACCAGACCCTCCTCAAACTCTCCTTCAGCTTCGGCACTCCTCCGAAATCTTCAGTATCTCGCACGTCCAACGGATCGAACCATGCCCACCCCTCGTGCTCCCAATTGATTTTTATTTTTTTCTCGCTTCCCTCGCCATCCCCAGCCGGGTCCTTCAACAAAAAGGCAAACGGCCAGATTGTCCATTCTCGCCCGACTGATTCATCGGAGAAAGTGTACGGCTTCCCTTGCCGAAGGAGTTTCAGGTCGGAAGCAGTTAAAGTGGTCTCTTCATGAATCTCACGCCAGGCTGCGCTAAGGGGGGAAGGGTCGGATGAATCGATGGAACCGGAGATGGGCGCGTAGTGATGGGTGTAAGTGCTGACTTTGTCGGAGCGTTTGAACAGAGCCACGAGTGGTTTTTGGATAGATGGATCAAAATTGGAGGTAGTCGGTAGAGAGGAGGAGGAGGAGGAGGAGGAGGATGGAGGGGAAAAGTAAGCAGGGGGGAGTTTGAAGATGAAAGAAGAGACCACGGATCGGTGTTTTAGTGGCTTCTGGTTGGTAGAGGTACTTGGAGCAGTGGAGGACGGGGTAGAAGTGGACATCGATAACGACCGATGCAGGATGTGGGTAGAATGGTGATGGGCAATGTATCGCAAGCTAGTCCAGCGTAGGCTCGTCAACAATTGCACAAGGTTACTTTCGGCGCTCGCCCAATGGAGAACTGAAGGAAGGGAAGATGAACAACGTCGGATTTGTTCGGCTGCAATGTCGCGATGAGTAGTATGGTACGATGACGTCATCCTCAAAGTGCCCCGGTCTATCGAGGGCCAGATCAACAGATAAGGGTTAGGGGCTGTGATTGACAATAACGCAAAGAGGAGGTACCTAGAGGTAAACGCGAGACACTACGTGATAGCTATTCGTACAACCTAGGCTTGAGACAGAGTACGCAGAATTTTAGGTAGTTACTTGTGGTTTCTCTGCGATTTTGCGTTCCATACAGATTCATAGTTTCATACCCCCAATGCCTTCCCATTATTCTTATCCCTCCCAGAGCCTTCTGCTTGCTACACCTATCTCAAGATACCTAGTGAGGCTGATATCAAATAAAACGGCGGTTATCAGGCAGGATGAATTGGTTATTTACCTATCATTAGCGCTTATTCAGGCACCGAGATAAATTCGATCATGACTGGTCCGCAGAATAGCAGCCGTTCTCGCCAAGAACATTGAAGGGTGGTGTTACTCAGCGCGCTTGCACAGCATCAAAATTTGGGCGTTTCATTCGTACCACATCGAGCCCCTGACGCCCCTTTTAGTATAAGTCCGAGGCTGGTCCAGAATCTCATAAAGATCATGTTCAGCTTTTGGTTTTGCTGCGCCGCTTGTGTGGATCGGGGCTTGGTCGATTGGACATATAACATTGAGGTCTCGACCATTGTCGACGTTTAAGACGAGGTCAAGATGGCAAGCTACAGCTACCAGCAACAATACCCACCACCAGCACAGGCCGGAGCTGGACACCCTTACCAGCCGTTCCCCGGTCCTCAGCAAGTGGACAAGACAGGTTTTGTGCCCGGCGAGATTCAGCATCCATATCCGGACCAGGGCACCCCGATGTTGCCAGAAAAGAACACAGGTGCCGGGTCGGGGTCGACCCTCCTCACGGTGAAACGGAGCATCGCACTTGCCGTCATCGGTACCTTGGCCTTGCTTCTTGCGACGGTCATTGGTCTTGCGGCAGGTCTAGGTGTGAGCCAGAAGAACCTCCACGATGCCAAGAATAACTTGAAGTTGGCGCAAGCGAGCATCACGGCAGGACTTGGGTAGGTTTTCCTTCCATGAATCCAACCCAATGACCCGAACTAATGAACCCATCTAGGGCAATCACCTCATCCCCGACAATCGCAACTGCCACCTCCACCAGCACTTCAAGTGCGTCTTCGACTGCGACCACCATCGCAAAGATTGAGTGTCCATCCATCAACGGAACTTTTTACACGGCAACGGTGGCCGGTAATTCTAGCAGCCCCGGTGGCAGCAGCAGCAAGAAATTCCAGCGTCTCTGCGGTGTTGACTTTGGAAAAGGAGAAGCCGCCGACATTGGCTCCGTAAACACGACCAGCTTCAACTCGTGCTTGGATAAGTGTGCGGAGAAGCAAGGGTGCACCGGAGCGGGATGGGGTGCGATCACGGGCGACGAGGAAACCCATCACACGTGTTGGATGAAGACAAATCTGACAACAAAGGGGCATGAGGCGGTGGACGAGTGGGCTTTTGGAGTGTTGGAGTTAAGTGGTAGTGGGAAGGGGGAGGACAACGACGATGGTGATGATAATGATGTTGATGGGAATTAAGTTTGGTGATATTGACGTTGAGGAGGGCAATTGAGGTGACAGGGTAAAGCGAGGGGTCGGAGAGAATCACTGACTGATAGTGATTGAGAACTACTTTGTTCGTTTGCTGGTGTCGACGTTGTAGCTGACGGGAGTTTTACCGTACATCAAAGACGGCTTTTTAAGTTCCCTCTGCCATTTTCTGGGTGCGTTGCTGCCTGCCAAGTGAAATCCCGCTGTTAGCACTTTATCGTCCGTTGATTTCCGACTCGGCTAGTTGGTGTTTCCCTCCGTGTCGCGACGCATTCTTGCCATTGCAGCGGTACAGTGTGGTGATTGGCGAGGACGGGAAGCTGTCATCAGGTCAGGTCTGGGACCCCATCGTCGGGTGCTGTCGCCCTTCCTTCTTTCTTCCTCTCTCTGGTGGTTCAGTTGCGTTGTCACTTTTCGAGCCCAGCCTGGACAAAGTGAGCGAGGACAGTGGTACGGGCAGGCACTGCACTGTACAGTAGTGTTCCCACAGTAAAGACATTCAGCGGCAGGCAGTGTGTGCAGCTGAGTGGGCTAGACTGCACCAATAGGTAGCACTGTAGCCCGTTGTGTGGTCGGTGCGGGGCTGCCCAGTATCCGTTTTCGATTGGTGACCATCCTGTGCATTCCATCTTGCCTTCCATGGAACTGAACGAATTGTCACAAAAACATGAATCTCATTCGGCGTCTTGCACCTCCCACACAACCGATTGTTGCCGACCACTCAAGCCAAGTTACTCCAAACCCCCCTGGATCACAAGTCGGCGTTGGTATTGGTGGCACAGTATGGAGGCCACGAAAATCCGGGGAAATTGGAGAAAATGATGGGAACAGCGGCCCGCTTGAGACGACCTGGTCGGGGCCGGGGACGTCCTCCTTTTCCTTTTGCAATTGAACTCAGGGATGCGACACTAATGGAACGACGGGAAGTGGAGTTTACGGCGGATAATGTCACTCCATGTCTGTCACAGCCCTGCCCTACCATCCGGAAGAAGTTGCTGTTGGACTTGCGGTTGGATCTTGTGTTCTTGAACCTGATGGACAAAGAGATCTCCACAGTGAAAGCTGGGGGAGTTGAGCACCTGGGTCGCTCTCTCGCTGCTCCCATTCCACGTGGAAAAGATGGATCAGTGGTAACCTCCTCCTACCAACGGGGCATTTTCCCATCATTACTACCCTATCTACGAATGCAGCCGTACTGACATGGACCACCTCACAGACCTTCCGAGTTCTCATCATCACTTCAAGACTGTGCGTCACAGCTCGAATATTTGCTCCAACCTCTTTTCCTAAACCGAATACGTCAGGCGACGGCTGGCAGATGCAGAGCTCGTCCACACAAGCTGTTGGTCCGTAGCACAATACGACAAGTGCTTCAGCGAAATTAAACATGGCGTTTTCGACTCAATGCTGCCTCGCCCGGTTCACCGTCCCATCCACCCCAGTCGGATGAACATCCCTCGCTGCCGACATGGATCGGCGTCACCTTTGCCCACAGTTTGGGCACCACGAAAGCTCCCCTGGTTCTATTTCAGGGACAAGCGAGCCATGCTCTTTACCCGTCCATGGGGTATCCGACGCGTCGAACGTTCGATAACTCCTGACTCGACAAGCTTTGTTCGATCATGGCGGACTAGAGGTTTGAGGAACGAAGACGCACAGGCGAGGAGGATCTCGTGGCATGCAGCCCATATTGCGCGATTGTCCAACTCAAGACTGCTAGTGCAGGTCATCAATAACCGCTATACACGGGACAAGAGATCGTCGCGATTGGGTGAGAGAATGCCTTCACCTGCGCAGAGTCTCCGCAAGGTAGAACCCGTCTTCCCCGCCATTCACATTACACCACTTCCAAGCATAGAACATACAGCAAGAAGTCTTGTTTGGCACAGAGTATCATTGATGAGAGGTGCCGTCCACTTGCGCTGCAACGGCGGCTGGCGACCCCGTCTTTTCACCGTTTTGTTACAGTTCTGGATTATAGTCCAGTCAGACCTCGTACCGGCCCTCCACTACTGCATTTCTTCTAAATTAAATCAAGAATGATACCATACTTGGCCAAGTAAATGAAGTTTGAGACAGACCATACCGAACAGAGATGAAATCCTTCCCAGGGGTCTATTAGTGGCCTCGCATCGTCAACCCATGGGTACTGGGATGTCACGACGATGGCTTACCCCAGAATGATCACCTATTCTTGTTGCCTCCTTCAGCATGTCAATGCTTCCCCGACCCCTTTTTGCCTGGTTCCCGCTGGAGGTCACACTCTAAATGCTCTGGGGATCCTCATATACTACCCGGAGATGGAACCCTCACTGCTACTCCTTTCTTTCTCCGATGTTCTGTCGTGGTATTCAACCTACTATCGACTCCAGTCTGATCGAAGGTTACCTCTACGCATGCGTGTCCTAGTCTAAACCCAATTTGAAGTTGTCCCTGCTCAGCAGCCTTGATCCTCAACGTCAATGCCAACAACGACGCCTACGACACGAACGATCCGGGTCGAAATTGGGGGCGACCCCAACGAAAGGGCTCCCGACGAAGGAATGAACGTCCATACCAAGCCCAACCCAAACCCAGACAATATCTCGGGGATTTACGAGGAGATTGCGGAGGTAGAATCTCCGCGGTTTGAGAGGGTTTACTGGACAAAGGAACCGCATTTGAGGAAGCTCTACGGCATGACCTCCTTCCTTCTGGTGGCATCGGCAACGACAGGCTACGACAGCATGCTTTTGAACACATCACAACAGATCCATGCGTGGAACCACTTCTTCTTCCTGGAGACGAAGCTGAACCCGGACCTTGCAGATCCCGTTGAGGATAGCAAGCTGGCAATCTTGATTAACATGTTCAACATCGGCTCAATCTTATCGTTCGTTATAACCCCATACGTGGCCGATAATTATGGACGAAGGCCCTCCATCGTAGCTGGTTGCATGTTCATGATCTTTGGGGGATTTCTAACTGGTTTTTGCAACGGTTACGGAAGTAGGTACCTACCTTTTTATCTCGCCTTCTTCAGTGAGTTTACTAACAATGACAGTGTACATGGGTGGCCGGTTCCTCCTCGGTTTTGGCAACTCACTCGCACAAATGGCCTCCCCCCTCCTTCTCACCGAGATCGTCCACCCGCAACATCGCGGCCCCGTCACCGCCATCTACAACTGTCTTTGGAATGCCGGCGCGCTTTTGGTGTCGTGCATAGCATGGGGCACGTCCAACATTGCCTCCAACTGGTCCTGGCGCTCCATCACGCTCCTGCAGATTCTGCCCTCGGCCGTCCAGCTCGCAGGCATTTGGTGGCTTCCTGAATCTCCACGATACCTTATCAACAAGGAACGCCATGATGAAGCCCTCGACATACTCGCCAAGTGGCATGCCGGTGGTGATAGACTCAACAGAACAGTACAGTTCGAGTTTCGTGAAATCAAAGAGACGATTCGCATCCAGAAGCAGCTGGATGAGGCATCGAGCTATGTCGATTTTATCAGGACCAAGGGAAACAGGTGGCGGTTAGCCATTATCATCTCGCTGGGTGTCATTAGCCAGTACTCTGGCAATGCCCTGTTCAGCAATTACATGAATGCTGTATACGGCGGGGCGGGGATAACGGAGCAGAGCCATAAGCTGGCCATCTCGACGGGGAAGATCATCCTGGATCTGATCGTTACCATCTTCGCCGCGCTGAATGTCGACCGGTTTGGACGCAGGCCGCTGTTCTTGATGTCGACGTGCGGTATGGTTGTGAGCTTTGCGTGCTGGACGGCAACGGGCGCGGCGTATGAACATAGTGGGGAGACAAATATGACCATTGGCTATACGCAGTTGGTGTTCATCTGGATCTTTGGTATCTTTTACGATATTGGGTTTTCAGGACTGTTGGTGGCATATGCGCTGGAGATCCTGCCGTTTCATCTGAGGGCGAAAGGCATGATGTTGATGAATATCACGGTGCAGGCTGTGCTTGCCATCTCCAAGTGAGTTCTTTTCCTTTTGTTTCTTTTCACTGCCCACCCTTCCCTTTTCATCTTATCAAGACATTCTCTTAATATCACTCTTGTCGCTCCTTCCTTGCGCTTCCTGTTGCTTTCATCTAAACACTGTTTCTTTCCTCTACCAACTCTGCATCACCACCCTCCACTTCCCGCTCTTTTCTCTCTTTTGCCGCTATGCCGTTCAACGGGTTGAATGCCAACTCCTCCAAGCCAAACCAACAAATTAGCATGGGATAATCTCCCCCACCACTGGAACTTTACTCTGTTCTACACTATATGGAACTGCTTTGAACTTACTTTTGTCTACTTCTTCTACGTCGAGACAAAAGGCCCGACTCTTGAAGAAGTCGCACGCATCTTTGATGGTGTTAATGCCGTTGGACATATTGATATGCAACAAATTGAGAAGGAGATCTACCACAAGGGCGTTTTGGGGAATCCGTTGGAGAGGGATCGGGCGATGCATGGTGGTGGATACGGTGGAATTGAGTTGGAGGAGCAGCGGGGACAGTGATATGAGGGCATGCGAGGCAGAGGAAAAGTGGTGGGTAGGTATGAATGAGGGAGGATGTAATGGTGAGATGTGGTTCAAGAATAGACCGGGGCCTGGTTATCAGGGTGTCCAAAAACACTGAAACTCACTCAGAAGCAAACAAAGGTCTTGAATCTTGATAGGATCTCCACAGAACCCTTACATTGAGACCTAGGGAGAGCAGGTTTCATACTCGATCATCATCACCCTCTCCACCCACAATGATACTAGGAAAGCTTGCTCTCCCCGACATATCTCCCGCAAGCACCAAGCTGGGTCTCCCACCGCCAACCAATGATGCCCTCGCACTCACAGGCTGCACATACTCTCCAGTTGAAGCCCCAGCATCTGCCCCGGCCATCGCGGCCCCCTGGCCAGCAGCCTCTTCATGTTTCCTCCGTCTCCTCGCTGCCAAAGCAGACTCGGAAGTCGAGCCCATCTCCTGCTTGAAGATGATAGATTTCGTCCCCTCGTTCCTTCTTCTCCTAATGAAAACCCAATCCCAAAGGCAAGTAGCCATCGATCCGGCCCTCTCGACGCTATATGTCCGGGTCATCGTTAGCAATTTGATGCCGAAGGGGAAGGGGAACGGATAAAAACGAACATTACAACCACCGCCAACGCCCACACAGCTGTGTCATACTCTGTCTTGAACATAATTCCCCTCACGGTTGGGATGCCCACTGCGCACATGACCAGCGCAACAGCATCAAGGACAGCGATGGTTACCGGCGTAGAGGTTTGTGACATCCTGGCAAAGAGGAAGTAAGTAGTGCCGAGGTCTGTAATGATTGCTATCGCCGCCTGTTTCTCACTGTTAGTTATCATCCTGCAACAGGTGTGGTCAAATAGGAGCTGATCAGGGAAGGAGAGGAAGAGAAGGAAACTTACCCCGGCCATAATAACCGCATATGTTTTCTCCGGGTATTCTTGTCCCCATTTTGCCGCGATGAACACGGTGAGGGCGAGGAGAGCGGCGGAGGTGAGGAGGGTAAAAAGACGGAAAAGGTACTGAGTCCATTGAAGGCTGCCGTACGGGGATGGTGGCTTAGGCGGTGACAATGCTGTCTGGAGGTCTGTGGTTGGCGTTTGTGCGTGTTGGATCTGAAGGGTTGGAAATGGCGTTGGTGTTGTTGATCTGGAGTCCATTTTGTTGGACTTAAGAAGCCTTGATAGAACGCCGTTGGCCAAGACTTGATAGTGCTCTAGATGTACATGTAGGATGACTGATTGCCCGATATGATGATGTATCGTCGGTGATGAGGCTCTGGAAAAACTTCAGCGTTGGGCCTGCGAGAAGTCCAGTCATGGAATTGAAGATTCGTAAAACTTACCTCATATAGATGGTCAGAGGTAGGTATGCTCGATCTTTTAAGCGCCTCTCAAGCATTTGAATGTCTCCAAAATGTAAGACCAAGCTCCGCAAGCTCCTCTCCATCACCGCTCTGTTTCGCGTCTCAGTGTCGATCTTCGACCGCCAGTTCATTGACGAGTGGAGGACGCCCAGCCCTTGTCTTGCGTCCATAATTCCAGACCGCTCTTGCGGAGAGACTCCGGTTCGTCCATCGTGGCTCTTGGTTGCAGTTCAGGACTTGAAAAGGCCGACAGACCATACGATCGTGTCGCACGACACGTTGATCCGCCGTTGGGCGCGACCACTCCAGACCTTCTCACCATGCAAGGCAACGCAAAGGAGCCGACGTGAAGAGCTAAATTGACGTCTAGAAGACGGGAGTGTGAAGAACCGAGCTGCTTAGTCCACCTTCTATTGGACAATGAGAGGAGACCCGAAGATACAGCGCTAGCATCTACCTGACAGGGGCAGAGTTCCTCCGCTCCAGCCCTAAAAGAGCGCTGATCGGCGGAGCATGAGGACCCTGTCACGTCTGTCTCGGCCTCGAGTAGGGTCTGCAAGGTCGGGGACTACATAGGTAGACTTGTTGATCTTGGCGTTTGTGGGGAAGGTGATCACTGGGGAAACGCAAAGTCACCGTTTTTGTTATCGTGGGGTTTTGACAACTCAAGCTCGTAACATCAGTAACATGATAAGTAAGCTTCCAGCTGTGGCTTGATCTGCTTCAAGTTGGCCTGATCCACGAAGCATCCCACGTGCCATACCAGCCTGAGTGCTGTCTCTTTGGCTAGGCTGTTCCCATTTTTATGCATTGAAGTGTTAAGATGAACGATCGCACTTGGAATCAGCATCAAATCCAAGGACAGTACAGATGTAGGTCGGCGATCGGTCGTAGACTTCCACTCTCTCATGACCGGGAACGAAAGATTCGGTATTCGGTGGCCAAAGCGGACCGAGTCTCATTCCCTCCGATGCCATGGGAACAATGATAGCATCGTTACCGCAACCATAGACAATTGAGCTGCCCAACTTCAGGACGCTATCATGACGTTTATCGTGCGTAGAGGTTCAAAGGCGTCTGTGCGTCAAGTCCAACGTAGCGGCTTCAGTAGGGAGACTGCAGGCTTAATGTGCACCTTCACGTCCTTCATTGACCGTAGTTCACCGCGGGGCTGGTGCTTGAGCTGTTCCCGCGGTCGGACTTGATCCCCGACTTTTCAAGGTTGATGGTGGATGATATGGTCCTGATCTGGATATTGGAGCGTACAATGGCGGACAGTAATTACCACTCCAACGTCATCCCTATGACAGCATCATAAAGCCCATCGACGCCCGTATATTCAAGATCCCATAAAGGTTGCGACATGGAGATGCTTTTGTCGCCAACCCTCGCTCACTCTTGCCTGACTCATGAGCTTTTCAACCTGCCCCAGCAGACTGTGATCAGTTAACACTTTAGTCGCCGTCAGCAAAGTAACATTGGCAGAGGTATCAAAAATGGACTCCGCAGGAAGAAGGCGTAGCCCCGACACAGTCCAGCGCCTCCTCCGAATATGGCTTTGGATCAATGATGCCCTGATTTTGGCCTCCTCGGCCATTGTTACGGGCATTTTGGCTCACTTCATCCGCAAATACCATGAGCGCGGCACGCACGTCATCTTTGAGGAGGTTATCGTGAGTATTCCATTCTCTCGAGTCCCTTGCTCGCCTCCTCCAGTACAAGTGTCGTCCTTGCCCGGTTCATTGCGCATATAGTATGTATGGCGGAAAAGAATGCTGATGACGAACAGGCCGTGGTAACCCTCTTTCTCTACCTCTTCGCCATTTTCGCTCCAGCTCTCAAGGGCTATCGCGGTTACCTGCTGCCGCTCAACCTCGCCCTCTCCTATCTATGGCTGACCAACCTCATCTTTTCTTCCCAAGACTATAGCGGCCACAGGTGCCACTACTACAGCCCTGCGTACGTAGGGCACTGTCGCTTGAAGCACACTGTGCAGGCTTTTAATATTATAGGATTGTAAGTCACTCCTAGCTCGATAATTTGGCAAGAGTGAGGCTGATATGTCCGGACAACAGCATTTCTCTCCTCTCAAACGTCGTGGCCGACAGTCTGATGTGGTATCGCTGCTGCGGTTCTTCTCCCGGTACTGCCGGTGGCCGTGTTGGCAATGGAGAGAAGGGTTCAGCGCCGTTGACATCTACTCCTGGGGCTACAACAGGTGCTCCCACTGCGTCCGATGCGGCGAACGGGACTCGTGTCTAGATTCAGATCGTCCTGGGCGTGGGCAACGGGCTTTCGTGCTGCTGCCATAACATGTTGTGCTGCCCAATGACGCCTGGTTTCTTTTCCTTCAGAGGGGTGAGGCTCGAGACTGTAGCGACGGGATATTGGTCAATGCGGGTGGATCGTTGAAACAGTGGCTACGACACGGAGTCGGTGGTAAAGAGAGTGAAGATTTCGGGCAACGATTTGGAGGAAGATCATTCGTTGTTGAGAAGTGTCTGATTGATCATGTCCAGTCGACGTTGTCCGCGAAGGCATGCGTTGAGCCACGGGGAGGACTTGATATCGGAGGGATGGTGGCGGGTGTAATAGGGCCTTTTCTTTTCTCTGGGTTGCTTCCATTGTATATAATGCTTAGGGAAGGGTACGTTACCCTGTTGTTTGTCAACTCTGTTCTCGATAATGTTGACTGTGAAAACTTGGCCGCAACCATAGCCCTGATGATTGAGCCGATAAAACTTCATTGGGTGTACTCAACTCGACTGGGGCAGCGGATCGGAGTTTCGTGGGTCGGAGTCGGAGAGGAAATGCAATGCCCCACTTGACCGGTGTCATGGCCGGCACTGATCAGAGGTTTGTCGTCCGGGTTCCGTAGCCAACCATGGCCGCACGGGGAGCACTTCATGGGGCCATTCGTTGTGATCAGCATCGCGGCATCGTCAATCCTGAACACGGTCCGAGCGAACCAGTGGTTCATCCCAAGATGGCAGGTGAGAGGCTGAGAAGCTGAGGTTCTTTGATTGCATAAATTAGAGGTGGCCAAGTCCAGAACAAGAGCGCACAGGTAGTAATGAGTGGTTTAAATGAGTGCCAGGTGGTCTGACGAACTGAAGTCGCCTGCTTCGGAAACGAGACTCGGTGTGGCCACTGGCCTCAGTGGGAGAATGGCAGGTGCGGATGCAACACCCCGGAGGCCGCATAAGGAAGGACCCAAACACGAAACGGGACACCTTGATGGCCACGGATCGGATCTGGTGGCTCTGAATGGCTGCCTGAATCTGGCGGCTGCTCTGTCCTTTTCGCGAATTGCAATGACTTGTCCGGGTTCGTCTCAATCTCCCTCGCTGGCGACCCAGAGTATGATGAACAGAAATGGGAAGGTGCAGAGTCCTTGGTCAGCAGCCGCCCGATTTCCGTCCATTTGACAGGTCGTCGTTGTAACATCGTCATGGCAGTGAGGCGTCTGGGCCGCGTCAATTGACAGGCATCGAGAAAAGCACCTCCGTCTTGCGTAGGAGGAAGAGTGCACGGGCCATATCCAACCTGAGCACGAGCCAGCGGCGTCGGCAGCATTCTGACAGCCCTGTTTGTAGGTAGGAAAACTTCACGTAATGAACTGCAGCCGTCTTTTGTAGCAGCCGCTGAAGAATGACTCTTTCGCCTTGGCTTGTACTAATCCGTAGGGCGTAATGGCCCTCTCACCGGCCTGAGTCGTGACGGACAAAGACGTTTGCCTACCTAGAGATATCGTTGATTCGTTTCCACAAGCAAACCATTTTCCCTAGGAGCAAGAGTGGTAACAATCCAATGTGACATGGGCGTGGTGTGCCTGGTTCAGTTGTTCGTCTGACCAAAGAAGTGTTGGGCAGCTTCCCATTTCGTCACTCTTTCCAGGGAGAGAACCGAGATCGGAACACACTGACCGGCTGCACCCACCCAATGCACCTGTCGTCCTTCTGCATTGGGACGGGAGGTCGGATTCGTGTCAATCGACTTGCCGATTGGTGGTTCGCCATCGATGCTGCCTGCCCGTCTTACACAAGACGACGACTTGCAGTGTGGCCTACGTAGACACTGTTGACGACAACCTGAACTTTTCCATTTGAGAGGGAGCTTGTTGACCAAAAGGAAACGCGTTCGGTGCAGTGGAGTCGACCCCTCTGTCAGCACCTCCCGTCACCATCGACCCGCGGATGATCCACTGGACCGTCGCAATCCATTTCCGCGTGTCCACATCGGTCATCGGCCCCGTGTCCAGGCTCCCAGGGCATCCCGCCAAAGCTCCTCGTCCAGCCCTCCACATTGCATCGATCGCTCGCTCAGCTCTGTCCGCCCGTCGGCTGCCCGCCCGGATTGCAGAGACAAATCCCGGTGTCGCATGGATCATGGTGTTGTTGATGGCTTGCCGATGACTCCTTCCGGGTCTTGTTGACCTCCTGGTCCGTCCGTCCGTACGACCGCGTACAACTGAACCTGGAAGGTACAAGTGTATCTAGTACTTCCCTTCCACCTAGTACCTCCTGCCTTTTGTCGACCTCGAGTCCGGTGTTCGTTGCTCCCTCTTCCAGTTTCGAGTCCAATCTCGTACTCGAATTGCACATCAGACACCACTGAAGAACTGACAGGATGCGGCTCCGGTTCCACATACTATCATTGAGAAACTCCCCAATTCCACCTGTTAGCGCCGCCGCCGCCGCTGCCATTGCAACTCCCGTCGGTCTCCTTCTCTCGTTAAGCTCAACGCTACCTTAGGAACCTCTAGCTAGCTGCCTCTGCCCCTTCACGACATCCCCATCTGGGGTCCGAACTACTCGCTCATCCCATCCTCCGTCGAGCGATCCTCTACACTACTTGTCGTGTCGCCTTCCTCGACAGCTTCCGGCTTCGATACACGAGACTTGGAAAGACCATGGCCGCGCCCGCGCAAAACTCTACCGTCTCCCTCGAGCGCCTACCGAACGAACTGCTACAGCCCATAGCCGAAGCCCTCGTTCCGCAACCTCCATTGACCACCCGCTTCGCCCTTCGTCACGTCGGAACATGGGCCAGTCAAGAAGCAAAGGACCAGCGGGCGGCATGGCGTCTCGCCCACCGTGAGTTGCTTACCTTCGCGCAGACCTCCCATCGCATGCTTGCCGTCGCCAGACCGCTTCTGTGCCGGAATATCCTCATCTACAACGAAAGGGCACTCGTGTCACTGTATCTGCGCATGATCAAGCATCCGGAAATCAAGCCTTGGATTCGCCACATCACATGTATGGCCAATATCACTGGCACCAAGCTGATCATGGGGATACATCGAGAATGGGAAAGACAAACTGGAGGTAGGATATCTGGATCCCGGTGCTTGGGTCTTTGTTCACCTTCTGACCGCCGCCAGTGAGATGGCAGGGCCAACCCGGCGCCAGTCCCGCTTCCATCGGCTTGGAGCTCCTCATGATCATCATGTGGCACGCCCCCAACCTAAGAGATCTTCTCTTTGCTTTTCCCGACCACCCCTTACCCAACCAGGAACTCCAAGACCCCACCGCCAACGATGTATTACTCCCAGCCTTCCGCGCCACCATATTGAGCTACATGAACTCCCCCGAACCCGTCAACCATCGACAGACCTTCGTCGCGCGCTACTTTCCCTTTCATCAGATGCGCAACCTGTCTTCTCTGCGCATCTACTGTCATAGAGACGAACAGCCTAGTCGAGATGCGACTTTCCCTCAGCTGCTCTCACACTACACCATTGCCTGCTTACCTGATCTCAAGAATCTCAAGACCCTCGAGCTTTGTTGTTCCTCGGCGTCGAATCTTTTCTACGAAGACATGACGATACCTCCGCTTCCCCAGATCCAACAGCTTCGTCTATACGGCAGCCGCATCCATGAGCCGAGGCTGGTTGCGCTATGTCTGGCATGTATCAACCTACAGGATCTACTTGTCCATTTCGAAGAGAGCACTACGGACGATGACAGGGATCTTTTGCCCGATGGGAAGACCCTTGACGTTGCCCTAACCGGTCTTTCAGATTCGCTGCGCAGTCTCGAGTTGGTTGCTTTGTCAGAGGGCCATTACCTTACGCGCGGAAGGGAACGTCCGAGGAAACCGGAGAACCACCGACTCAAGTGCATCCCACATCTTAGACGGCTTGAGAGCCTTACCCTCGACTACCGCGGCGTTTTCGGTACCCTGGGCATCCTGGAGGAAGATGACGGTGAGAGGCTGTGTCAGCTACTTCCGTCGTCACTGCGTGACTTCACCTTGGTGTGCGAGTGGGGAACCGCTAAAGACTGGAAGCAAAGCTATCTTGCCAACCTCGACATGATACTGCACGGCGTAGCCTGCCTCTGCGCTACCCAGTCACCGAAGCTGTCAAGCATATCGTTGGCTATTCACTCATGGCCTGCAAAAAGCAGGTTCCACAGACGCTTCGGCAGAGAGGTCGAGGAAACAAGGCTGCGCTGTTTGAAAGCAGGCATTACCTTTCGGACGTTCGACTTGTTCCCTTCGTATCAGGATGAAGATGATGTTGAACCCCTGGACGAGGGTGACTTTGAAGACGAGGACGGGGGGGACATATTACCCGAAATGGGCGATGGCGGGTTTGAAGAAGAGACCGAACTCGAGCTGGAAGAAGAGGATGAAGCGTCCGAATACTACTTTTCCGGCGACGAGGAAGAGGATCCGGAACGCGAAGCACGGAGGCCTCCTACATTTGCCGCATTCATGGAACAATTGGGAGAGGACCATGGACACAGCTTCGACGAGCTTTTCTATGCGTACCATGAAGATCGATGGGATGAGTATCTATTCTGAGTATGCTGTTGCTGCGATCGTAGCCAGTTGCATTTCGACTTTGTCACATAACCCTGTCAGGAATCAGAATACCGAAGGGAAGAGCTGTATGATTCGGCAAGGACATCGGTTACCATCATCCAACTTCTCACCAGACGAAGACAGGTGATTGTCTGTACCGAGCAGTATCGGGGTCTGGGTCGATATCTCATCACCGCATCAACCCATTCGGCAGACATGGCATTGCCTCGCCGCCCTTCTTCATTTTTCGGCTATTATTCGATGGCAAGGACTGCCTGAACCAACCACGCCAATGTAACGATCCATTCTAGATTGGCTTTGTTGCGTGCCCTACAAACTTGATACCCCAATATATCGACCTTCGATTGCGCAAGCTCCTTGCTCTCGAACCTCATCCCTGTGACTGGTTCTCATTCTGCCGCTTATGCACCCCAGTCCATATGCCTGAGGATATAACCTGTACGGTTAAATATCCAATCTGGATGTATACCAAAACATGGGCCACTGTCGAACTGCTCTTCGAGTCCCGAGCAAATGAGCATCTCTGCCGTCCTAGTAGCCCGTGTCAGCAAAGCGACTGCCGAAGGTTGGATCTGTTGGACTCGTTGCGCTTGCGTGTCTTGTAATTTTCCTTCACCTTGTCTCTCCACCACTTGTTGCCTCTCTTTCCTCCAAGCAACCAACCAACGTTTGGGGCGAATGCTTCCTTTAACTGATTTTGTCAGGTGTTGACCCAAATTATCCTGGAATTGAACCGCAAGGATACATGGCCGCCAGTGTGGTAACTGATGATTTTATGTGCAAAGTTGAGACCCCATTCCGTCTCCGGATATTTCTTTCTCTGGCATCCCTCGTTACCACCAACCTGGGAAGACCAAAACACTGCACTGCCAGGCCTTTTCTTCCCTTCATCCACCAAATCGAGCCATGGTGACCACGACTACATGGCCTTGGGGCCTTTTAGTCATGACCGGCTATCTCATCAACCTCACCTCAGCAGCTTACCCCTTAACCACCGACGCCAACTGCCACTGCTACAAAACCAACGCCACCTCCACAAACTACTTTCGCCAACACAAATTCTTTGACTTTCGCAACCTCCAACACTACGCGAACACACCGCCAAACCCAATTTCCACATTTGAGGGAAATGCGGCCGCTCCTCCGACATCTTCTTACTTCGACTCGAACCAATGGAAAGACAACTGGGGCATCCAGACCTGGAACAATACCGAATCAATGCGCCTCAACAACACCGACGTCAACGACGCCACAGTGCCAATGGTCAACTCGTTCAACAACATCTACATCGAGCGCTCTTCTGATAGGAACGCCAATGGGCAAACATACTTGGTGATGCGAACAGTTCGACACTCTTTAGACGGCCCTTCCACGCGCTATGGCTCCAACTCAAGCTCTGGCTTTCAAAGTTCTGCCGAGTTCGAATCCAAGCTCACCTCCTACCAATTTCTCTCCCTGCGCATGCTCGCCCGTACCCGCGGTTCTCCGGGCGCAGTAACCGCCATGTTCACCTACCGGCCTCCTCCTCAGCCTCAGCAATTGGCGCTGGTTCAGGAAGCCGATCTGGAGATTCGCACGCAGGATCCGCCTAATTTCGTCCAGTATACCAACCAGCCGGCTTGGAACAGCACTAGTGACATCAAAGAGGCGACGAGGAACGCGTCCATGCCAAGTGGAAAGAAGTGGAGTGACTGGGCATTTTATAGAATGGATTGGACGCCTGGGCAGTCAACTTGGTTCGTGAACGGTGTGGAGGCTAGCAAGATCAACTTCCAGGCACCAAGGGACCCGAGCCAGGTGATGTTCAATGTCTGGAGCGATGGTGGCAGCTGGTCAGGTATCATGGGGCAGGGTGGGAAGGCGGAGATGCAGGTGCAGTGGATTGAGATGGTTTACAACAGCACAGAGGCGTCTGGGCCTGTGACTGGACCGTGGGGAGACAAAAAGGGCTGTGCCAATATTTGCAGTATTGACGAAACGACTCAACTGGGCACTCCGGTGCTTATTAGCAATCCAAACGGTGAGTTTTCACCCCGTCTCACTCAGCTCCCAACACAGCCGTATCCTTTTGCACTTCCATTTCAACCCATCATCATTCCCATAGCCCTTGCTCTCTCTATCCTCAGTCTCATCACCCAGCTTACTCTACCTACTCAGCCTCTGCCCCGTCCTCCTCATCCGCTATTTCCTCATCTACTTCAACCCATTCCGCATCTTCTCTCTCTGCCCGTTATCATGTCCCCGTTGCCCTTTGCTATGCAGAAGCGGTACTTGTTCTACTCTGGATGTTAACAGGTGAATAGGTGGTAACACGCCCGCCAACCCTCCAAACAGCTGCACAACCGCCAAATATGGCCAGTGCAACGGAAAGAACTGGAATGGGTGCAAGACTTGCGTCAGCGGGAGTGCGTGTCAATATCAGAATGATTATTATTCGCAATGTCTGTAGGGTAAGCGTAGGCGTGCGAATGTACACAGTCCGGTACTGGGTGGTATAGGTAGGAATGAGAGATTGTGCTTCTTCTGGCTCGGAGACGATTGAAGTTGTTCTATCGGTAAAATCGCGAGTTTGATACCTACGTACCTACATCTATGCGTCTTTCTTGTCTGGGGAAGAAAGGGAATTTTGGTTGACATGTCGTTGAGCATGATGGTAATGTGTGGAATGCACTTCTTTTGGAACAAAGGAGCGAAAGGCGTGTTTAGGCCACTAACATCTACCTATCCTCGGGTATTGCGCACAAAACTATCAAAACAATATCTAGGCCGACTTCTTCTCAACACGTCCCCAGGTCCTATTATGCGGCCACTCCACCGTCTCAACACCACCCCTCTCCTTGCTCGTCAAACGATCCCTGAAATCCCGAAGGAACCTCCAATGTCCCTTTTGTACCCACCCCTTTTTCACAAAGTCGTTCATCGTTGCCGGGTAAAAATCGACCACGTCCAACAACGAGTCGTCATGTGCAATTGCCACAAACACGTTACCCAGCGCGTCAGGCTCCTGCAGCTTGCCCGCCGTATCAATTGTCTGCTCCACATCATGATGCCAGGCCTCTCCCCTCGCGGCTTCGTAAAAGCTCTTGGTCGGTAGCTCAGGGTTGGGCAGCAGCTTCTGAAGCGCCGCGCCGGGGCATTTGCTGTCGCAACCGGCCGAGAGAGGAAGGAAAGGGTTGGGAGAGACTTCCTCGGGCAAAGGCTTGAATTTTGAGGGCCGGATCTCGCCAACGTGGTGGACGGCGTCGCCGCCTAGGCAGATGAAGCTGTCATATCCATCTGTTTGTTGGGAGGTCACCCGTGCGAGGCCGCACATGTGTCCGATGGCGTGGCCGGGGGCATCGAGGAGGTAAAAAGAGCCGTCACCGAAATAGTCGACTGCTGGGAAGCGGCCGATTTGCAGGCGCTTCCAGTTTTTGCCGTCTGAAGCGGCCGAGGTAAAGTCCACTTCGATCAACTCCCGGTCCTTGTAATCCGCTTCAAGGATCGGCGAGTCCGGGTTGGTAGGGTACCCCGGCATCAACCCCTTCTTAAACCCCGGTCCGACGATCAAGGCCGCCTGCGGTCCGATGGTGGTGATATCGCCGATGTGGTCGAAATGGTAATGGGACCAAACCACCGCTTCCACTTTCGAAACGTCAAACTTGTTTTCTTTCAATATATCGGCAACGTTCTTCTCGGCTGACAACGTCCACCCGATTTCGCCAAAGTGGTGAAGCAACTTGGGAGGCATATTCTCAATGTCTTTGCGCATGCCGAGGTCGAAGAGGAGAGAGCGGCCGGTGACAGGGTGCTGGATGAGGAAGGCGAACATGGGGGCTGCGAGCCAGTCATGTCCATGTTGGGGAGGAGAGACAAAGGATTTGGCGGGCACGCCATGGAGGGTGCCGGTTGAGTTGATGATGGACACCGATACGGTGGAGGGGGAAGGAGGAACGTTTAGATCTGGAGTGGGAGCCATGTTGGTGAGTTCCCTTTGGGATTGTCGTGCGGTTGTCACGCTGTGATACTTGGGGGGGGTGAGATGGTTGCATTGGTTCGAGAAGGGAGGTCCCGTTGTCTATAATATACCTCTACCTCTACCTTACAGTAGAGGTACCTATGCATGTCTCCGTGAGGGGTCGCGGGATCAACCGGTCGCCCGAAAATGAGGAGGCGGTGCGGAGGTTTTGATGGGGGAGAGTTGATCATGAGCCCCTGAACATGGAACTCTTGGCCGGATATCCTCCCCCGGATTCCAAGCTGGCGAGGTCTAGGATCGGCGTCCATCGATTATGTTGTCCATTCATTGGTTGACCCAAGGTACGCCGAGGCACCGTCGACACTCTCGAGACATTGCATCCTGGAACGTCTGGGTTCCTCCCCATTCACCGTCGGTTTGTCAGGTTGTCGGGTTGTCAAGTTGTGAGCCATTTCGAGACCCATACAACTTGCCCGAGTTTTCAAGTAAACCTGAAATTCGTTCGGTTTGGGGACTGGAGCTCCCATTCATATGACGATACACCTAGGTAGGGTAGGTAGTATCAAAACCCTTTCGAACGACCAACGGATGATGTCAGGACTGGAACGTCGTTGGACGGTATTCCGGAAGCGTGGGAACATTTGAGAACATGATATCCACGCAGTGACCGGTTGGTTTTCAGTCACACCAATGGTAGGTACCTACATCAGTGTGCAAGCCGCCACCCAGTCCGCGTAGATCTGGGGTTACATGTAGATAACACGACAAAGACGACATCCGACGGGAATGTACATGCTCGCCAGATTGCGGCGAAACTTTACGTTTCAACAGCTCCAGCCATAGGTTCAAGATGAAGGAGATATCTTGTGTTTCCAATGACGTTGTCGGGTTCATCTTCGTTCGCTTACCTCTGGTGCACATGGCCACTGAATGTGCAGTGTGCGTTGTGTTGCGTGAAGGTCTGCTCGGTTCACATACCTACTAACGGCGGCGGGTGATAGCGCTCTGATGTTGTCTGGTCCAACCGCTTCACTCATCCATTGCGTTCTTCCGTCTGTGGCCGTCGTTGAGAATCCGACTGAGGCTGGCAATGGAAGATCCCGATGCGGGGTCGAGATCTCAAGGTGGGGTCGTGAATCTCGCGGAGTTACAGCCCCTGTTTAACCCCGCCACGTGCCCACAAAGTTCGGCCGAAAACCATCCGATGAGTGACATGGGAAACTTTTTCACAGCGGCTGCACATTTGCCCCTCATAGCAGCCGAAATTTTGAACAACAAACAATCAGGTCCGCTGGCTCAATGGCAGAGCGTCTGACTACGAATCAGGAGGTTCCAGGTTCGACCCCTGGGTGGATCGATTCTTTTTGAAGTTTTCTCATTCATATCCTCTCTTTTTGTCTCCTGGCCTTCATTTTCCAAGATGTATTCGTTGTTCACACCGGCACGATTTCTTCCTCGACCAGTGGTTTCTGCCCATACCAGAAGTACATCCACATATACCCGTGAATCTTGGTATCACCCATCGCCTTCTTGCAACCCTCTTGTAGTTCTTTCACTTCCTCTTCGACAAAACACTTCCTCATCGATGAGGTCGCCATGATAGCGGGTACCAACCCTTCCGTTGCTGCCCTTAGCAAGTTTCCAAAATTCTTCATCCTCCTACCACGTATCCTGTCAGCTTCAACATGTCTTCTTTTTCCAAATCTCTGTGCGCTTTGGGGGGCTGGGGATGGAACTGAAAGGGGCTCCTTACTCGTCCCTAGGCCATGGGCCCAGCGGCACCCTAAACTGTCTACAAGTCACGTTGACGAAGCCGGCTCCCTCCATCATCTCTCCTATCTGGGGGGTGATGCGGCAATCGACGCCTGCTTGAGCCCAAGCTATGTGTGCCAAGTCCATAAACTGCGCGGGCGGATACGTGTCTTTTGCGGGAATGGAATTATCGTCGGACATGATCCGAGGGTGGAGGTCCTGCGTTTCAATCCAACCGCCTGGCTTTAAGTGACTTTTTGGCCTCGTGTTAGCCTCGCTGTCTTTGTTCCACACAAGCAAGAGGATTGAAGCCCTGGCTTCCCTTTGGAAAAGGAAGAAAAAACTCACTCGAAGCATTTCCATATCAGTCCCGCAGGATCAACTACCGTGGAAAGTAGGTATCTGGCATGTACGAGATCGTAATCATTCCTCTCTGTCTCAAAAAAGTTTTCCTCCTCATCCTCAATATCATCAACCCACCACTCCACATTCTCCGGACTCAGGACCGGTTGGATTGGGCTCAAATCCACTCCCACCACCTTTGCGAACGGGAACTTGTCGGCAATCTCCACTGTCCATTTGCCTGTTCCGCAGCCAAGATCCAGAATCTTGTTGAGGTTGTCGCCGATGGGGGACAGGAAGTGGCGGCCGTAGATGAGATCCAATGACAAAAGGTGCAGAAGGTCCTCCCGATCCTGTTCGGGAGGGTCGTTAGGAAGGATGTAGCCGCAGGACGACTGGAAACCGTGGTAGCGGCGGCCGTAAGGGGAGATGTGATGGTGGTAGAAGGCGGGAGTCAGAGAGATGTGAGAGTTGTCTGATACTGTGGAGGCATTATCATGTTCGGAGGCGTCATCATCTACCTCTGCTTGGGAGAAGTCATGAGGTTCGCCAAAGTGGATGAGTTCATAGTCTGAGTCTGTCGAGATGGTGCTAAGTCGGCGAACGGAGCCGGCTGTGAGTTGACCATCAGAGTCCTGAATCGGGTTATGACCGACGAGGATCAGGTCGCTTGACTTTGATGGGAGAGGCATGTTGACGGTGGTTCAGGATGGAACCGGTCTCCGTAGTTGTTAAAGACGATGACAGGGAAGTGGAGACTGGATCTCAAAGGCAGAGATCCTGGCTGAGGACAGTACTGGATATAGGTAGGGTGCCCCTCGCAAACAAAGGCAGCTCGTCCGTAAACATCAGAAACCCACATGGCATGCACGAGTCCAAGTTTCGAGATAATCCGACGACCCAGGATCAAGTAATCACCATCAGGGTCGTATAGCGTCCGCACTGTCTGGTCTACCTGGTAACATCGTGACATCAATAGCGAAGAAAAGGGTCCATCGAGGGTTCATGGCATTCGATGGATAAAGTTGCAGTGCAGCCGCAAAAGAAGCCTGAAACTAGTGTCTCGGGCCGCGGCATCCTTCGAACTGTGGCCCAGTGCAATCTTTGTCGGCCGACTAGTCTCGGGCCGCGGGCATACATGGGCGTGATATCAGGACGTGTGATGATCCGAATGGATGGCTTGACGACAGTCTGCCATTGCTGCCGGTGTCTCGACTGGAAAGCAGAAACGTCGAGATAATAGGTAGGTATGGAGACGGCGGCTGGGGGTTTGCCAGGCCGCTCATGACATGCTGTGCCATATAGACCATGATCTCCAGACGCAAACTAGGTACTATAGACGATACGTATGCGGTTTGTGAATCGGTCACATTGTGGGGTCTTGGGTTCGCCTTGCGATACGGAACGATGTGGATGGTGAAGAGTTTCCACTGCCATGTGCAGATGAGCCAGTGTCGGCCAGAAATATTGGGGGAAAAGACAACAGCTTGCTTTGGCCGCTTTGCCGTCAAGTAGGTGTTATCGGGCTGTCACGGCCGACAAGCGGCAGAATTCGTCCAGTCAAGTAGATGCCGTGTGTTGGGTGGGAGCTACTGTGTAGAGGAAGTAGTGTAGTAGGTAGTAAGAACGAAGCTGGTGCAGCGACGTGGATGCCATGGGAAGTTGGTGTTTGGTTCGAATCTCAAGTTGGGTGGGGTCCGAGATTGTTAGTGCAGTACGCTACTATATGGTAATTTGTCCAGGCCGCGTGTTTACCTCTACCTGTTTCCAACCATCAGCTTACCTAGGTAGGTAGGTACACCCAACCCATTCACATTTCTTCATCGTTTTCAGAGATTCGGCTGAGCTTTCACTTTTCTTTATCACACTTTTGGCTTGGTTCGATATCTCACAACTTTCATCCTGTTTATACCTAGGTACTCATCTATCGTACCTACCTCACACTTGCCATGTGTCTCTCCACTCACGGACTCAATCAGAACCCACGCCTCAACGTCCCCGCCTGCCAACACCCTCACCAACGCCTCATCAGTTCACCCCGCCGTCTGATTGAATCGATCAACCACCGCCAGTCGAATGGTATCCCGAGCTCGACCACCGTTAGCGGCACAATCAACACCCCCCCAAAAGGCGCAAATGTCACTTGGTTCGCTTTTTCTTTCCGAATTAGACGCCGGCCCCCCATCCCGTGCACAAGCGCCACTTCGCACATGCACACGGCACCGTGCGCCATCGTTCGACTCTTGCACGCCGTCTTTATGTTCCACGACATGTCTCGATAACCCAACAGAACCTTCAGACTTGTCATCCACCACCAAGATCACCACCCTCAATCATCTGCGCTCCCTGGTGCCTCACTCTTACTGCATTGGCATCGATGTGGAGGGCATCGAGGGCATAGCGCAGGGTATCACCTCTGTGGGCATCTCCATCCTGCCACCCGTCTTCTCCCTCTCCACGGCATCCGCGGATGGCTCGTGGCCATGGCCCTTTCCAGACCACCACCAAGGGCAAATCGACCTCGACACCATCGCTTCTCACTACCGTCTGCAGTCTTACTGCTTTGCCGTCCTTGGCCGTGAGCGTGCCCGGTCCTACGAGCATTTCCACTACGGCGAGGTTGTCCACCACCCCGTCACCCACCTCCAGTCCACCATTGTCTCCGTACTGCAGTCCGTCCGCCTTCAAAACCCCACGGCCCATATCATCCTCGTGGGATTCGACATGGAGCTTGAGCACCGCGCTGTCAAATCTGTTTTCCCTTTGTTGGATGACCATGTCACACACTGGTGCGATGTCTCGCATACCGGTCTTGCGGATGCGAGATGGGAAAGTAGAAGGGTAGCGCACAAGACGCATCGCAAGATCTCCTTGCGGGATACCATGTTGGCTCTCAACTTCAGGCGTAACCATGGGATACAGCCCCGAGCGAGGCATCACTCGGCTGGTATGGACGCTGTGCGCACACTGGGAACAATGCTTGCGCTTCTGGCGAGGGCGCCAGAGGCAGGAGGTTTGGTGGTCAAAAGATTTACGTGGGAGGAGCATGGGAACAGAAAACTGTGGGAATGGGTTCCAAGACCGGCATCCAAGTTCCCTTGGACAGTGAAAATTGTACCGGTGCCGACAGATGACAAGGACGGAACAGCGCACCTGCCAGAGTCCCTTGGCAGACCAGCCCGGTTGTTCAATTTCGTAACGAGGAACTTTGCCGAACCAAAAGCCGTAGCGGTCTGTCCCCCGGCTAGGTCGGGGCCGCTGAAGACACATGGCTGGGTGAGTCTACATAATGAGGAAGAGATGAAGAGGCTCGTAAGAGACTGGGATGGGAAGATGGTTGTCGATGGGGTGATGTTGAAGGTCGGGGGGAGACCGCCTCCTGAGAACCCCTCTAAGATCTCACTTGAGCACCCGATGAAAGCCAGTTCCAGCGTAAGCGAAATGGTTAAAAGAGCTAAGACAATGGCAGATGAGCTACAAGTTGAAGAGGAAGAAGCAGAGCGGGACTCGTTTCTCGCAGAGGGTCTGTCCAACATGGAGCTTGATGACACTGGAGAGGTACCAGCTAGCGCGCTAGAGTCCTTGTTCCAATCGGACAGTGATGGCAGCTCCTCGGGTGATATATGCCGTACTTATTCCCCAATTGAAACGGACTGGAACAAAAACAAAACAAATTGGCGATGAGGTTCAAACGAGTGTCGGCGATTTGCCAGACGACCCTAACCCTTCTCCGGTGCCTCAATTGCTGCGCCCGTGTCAACTTGCCGGGGGGCTGCCGCAGCACTGCTGATCCCTGCACCGTGACGCGAATCGCATTCTCCACCGGCGGTCTCCACCGGGCAGCACTTGCAGCTCCAAGTTCAATTGCGACAAGCGACGGGACTTTCGTTTTGCGATTCGGTTCGATTTCCATCTTTCCATCTTTCCATCTTCCGTGTCTCCGGGCAGCTAGGCACCTATCGATACCACTTCCACCCAAACCACACCCACCGCAACATTTATTGGACCGCGATGCTGAAATCAACATACAAACCCTCTCCTGGTGCTCTTCCTCCCCTGCCACCAGGCTGGACCGAACACAAAGCGCCTACCGGGCACACATACTACTACAATGCCTCAACCAAGGAGTCAACCTACAAGCGCCCCGGCGTTACTCCGACTCCCACTCCTCCCGCCGCCGCTTCTCCGTTCGGTCCTCCGTCCGCTTCGCCAGTCCCCGGCGCCCATCCGCTCGCCGCGGCGCCAGCGAACCCCTCCATGAGCTACCTCCAACACCAATCCGTTCCCGCGATAAACCTCTCCGATCCACGCGTTGCCAATGCCCTTATGGCGCAGTATTCCCAGCAGTCCCAGCCTCAACACCACGGCGGGCGAGGGGGTTTTGGAGCAGGAGGTAGGGGCGGTAGCCAGCAACAGCAAAGGCCCCGACCACAGCCCGTCGACAAGCCAAAAGCCAAGATCGCCATCCTCGGCTGCGAGCCGTGGTTCCTGGTATACACAAAATATGGGAGAAGGTTTGCTTTCAATCCGGTAAAGAACGCGAGTTACTGGCGGATTCCGGACAAGATCTTGCCAGCAGTAATCGAGTTGGATAAAGAAAGGATCAGGAGGAAGGCCGCTGGGGAGCCACCGCTCGAGGAGGATCCGAAATACAAGAGCCATGATAAGGAGGAGGAAAAGGCGGAGGGGAAGAATCTGGGTTCGGGGCAGCAGGGTCTAGAGGAGACGCACGACTACGACAGCTCAGAATACGAAGAAGTAGAAGTCACCGATGACGAAGGCGCAGACCACAACGACGCCGAACACCCCTCCCAGCACCAGCGTACCGAAGACGAAAACCAGGGGCCGATCGAGTTTACAGAAGACGACTTTGCCGCTCAGCTGGCCATGATGGAAGGCGATGGTATGGACATTGACCAAGAATACGATTTTGAAGCACAAGCAGAAAATGTCGAGCCCCTTTCTGACGTCGACGCCCGCCTCCTCTTCCGCGACCTCCTCGCCGACTTCCGCATCAACCCCTACTCCCCTTTCCAAAAGCTGATTGACGAAGGCGAGAAGACGGGTGTCTTCTCCGACCCGCGGTACACTGTCCTCTCATCCATGCGCGAGCGCAGGGAAGTCTACGATGAGTGGTCCCGCGAGGCTATCCAAGCCCTGAAAGAAGCGAGGGCAAAGGAAGAGAAGAAGGACCCGAGGATACCATACCTGGCCTTTCTACAAGAACATGCCACGCCAAAGCTATATTGGGCTGAGTTCAAGAGGAAATATCGAAAGGAAGATGTGATGAAGGATTCGGCGCATCATAGGAGCTTCAACGACAAGGAAAGAGAAAAGCTGTACAGGGAGCATATCAACAGACTGAAGCTACCGCAGTCGCAACTCAAGAGTGACCTGAAGAAGTTGCTTGAGAGTGTACCGCTCCGGCAGCTGAACAACCGGTCCTCAGCAGCCAGCCTCCCGAGCCAAATCTTGGCAGACATCCGATACATCTCGCTCGATGCGAAAACGCGCGACGAATTCATCGAGGGTTACATCCAGGGTCTTGCCCCACCTCCAGAGGCCCAAAGCGCTGCGGAAGAAGCGGAGGATGAGGTACTGAGGAAAGCTAAAGAGGAGAGGAAGAAGAGAGAGAAAGCGTTGGAAGAGAGGGAGAGGAGGGTAGAAGAGGAAAAGAGAAGACAAGAAAAGAGGTTAGCCGTTGAACGGGCGAGGCTCAGGGAGGAGGAGAGGGAGCTGCAGAGGGCTATGGTTGTTGATAAGAAGGGGCTGCAGAGTCAGCTGGGCGGTGGTGCTACGGCTGGCGGGGAGGCGTCGAAGGATGATGAGGCAAAGGAGGAGAGATAAGGGAGTGAACAAGTGGCCGCCTCACAAGATGGTATATACCCAAAATTGTTCATCAGCATAGCGCTCAGGAGTTCCCATCTTTATATCACGCCGCGGGTTTCCAGGAACAACCAGGTTCCATGTATTCAACAGGGCATTTACACACTAAACATGTGGGAGAATGGAAGCAGATAGGTACTCATCAAAAATCATGTACAAGAAAAGCCAAATTGGCATCAGGCCTTCGTGGCACACCTCGTCAAGTCATCCGTCAGTCGCCATCACATGTCAACCATCACTGGTTTCATTGTCACCAACATCCACCATGCTTCACGCCCCTGTCCTAGCAGTCGACCTAACCCTCCTCGCCGTCGCCAGCGTAGTCGCTACAACCGTCTTCGTCGTTTGTTCCCTTCCAAGCCCAGGACCACCCTCAGGCCCGCGATGTGCTGCCGCCTCCAAGTCCAGTTCCGATACCGTCCCATTTCCACCATCCACTCCATCCATCCCCGCCCGCCTGCTCGACGCGCCCGCCGCATACGCCTTGAACATATTCAACACCGTCCAATACGCCGGCTTCTTGACATAATTGTTATCCCACATGCACGCCTCCCCCTCTGTGGGGATCTCGCTCGGCACCCACGAATACTTGTCGGTGAAATCCCACAAAGTCACCCCCACGCATTTCCTCCCTCCATACCCCTTGTTGACATCCAAGCAAGCGCCCACCACCTCTCCATAATCCCTCGCCTGCGCGTTCCACATTTCCCTCGTGCTCGGCACCTTCAGCGGGCTGTGTCGAATATCCAGCTCCGTGATGGCCACCTCATCCACCACCTCCAGGAACTGCTGCATGGTATTGACAATCTCGGCACGGGCAGGGACAAGGCCGACTTTGAGGTGGGATTGGAAGCCGACGCCGTGGACGGTGCCGCCTTGGGCCTTTACGGTGCGGAGCATGGCCAGGGTGATAGAAATTTTGGGGCCCGTGGAGAGGGACGGTGATTCTAGGGCGTAGTCGTTGTAGTAGAGCTTGGCGCCGGGGTCGGCTTTGGCGGCGGTCTTGAAGGAGAAAGTGATGAAGTCGAGGCCCATGGCTTTGTACACTTGCGGGATGTCAGCTTAAAATAGGTAGGGTATGGGCGGGATTGAAAGAGCAAGGCATGGAAAGACGTACTTGGACTCTGCCTAAACACTCCGTTCTCGTCGATGGCTTCATTGACCACATCCCAAGCATAACACCTCCCCTTGAAGTACTGTGCCAGATTCTGGATGTGTGCGGCGAGGATCTTTTCCATGTCGTCGCGGGAGTACGTCGTCTCAACTAAGGCATTATTCTCTCTCGTCAGTTTCCATTTGTTTCTCGCTCTCCAGCCTCTGCACACATATAAGAGGACATACCCCAAGAAGGCAACCCCTTATACCACACCATGGTATGACACCTCAGCGTCTTCATTCCTCCCACCCCAGCTTTCGCCGTATTCGCTATAGCATCCGCTTCCGCAAAGGTGAATACTCCTTGGACCTCCTCAGTCTTCTTCCATTTCTGTGCATTGATGGGTGTCAGCGAGCCAAACTCGCCAGACCCCTGAAGCACAGACATGTACTGCTCGTTATATAGACGAGGGTTGTCGACGGCTGTGCCGAAGTAGGAGAGGCCGGCAAGTTTGGCATACTTGTCGAGCTGTGCTGAAGCCAGGGGAAAAAGGGTGGAGGCGAAAGCTAAGAGGACGAGAAGGAGAGGGAACGAACGGGGAAGAAGGAGGGAGAGAAAAGGCTGAATAGCCGAAAAAATGGTGGAGGTGAGCAGCTTCATCTTGATTAGTTGGAGGTGGTTAGATGATGAAGTGTAGGTATAAAGGAATCTAAAGGGCAGGTCCGAAAGGTCTACTGAAAGGCCGTCCGAGCGAGCTGTCCCTTACTTCGATGCCCGGATTTTGCAAGGAGCGAGCCTGGATGGAGGCTGGAAGAGGTGACAATGAAAAGGGCTTGATTGTGGAGTTGTCTAACGCAAGGGGAGAAACGGAAACCAGGGCAACCTAAATACCTGGAGGGTGAACAGGCGAGATCAGTGAATTGGGCGGCCCAGGGTATTTCTAAGGTTCCAATGGAGGCTCAACTCTCATCTGATACTCTGACCTTCTTTTTCTGGAACGGGCAGACGTACGACAACCGAGAGAACGAGGAGGCAAGTGCAACCTTCCACTTATCCAAAAAGTCCAATGACCATAAGCGGCCCCCAATACCCTCTGTCTCCGCTCCTCAGTTGGAGTCACTCATCAGGACATATTTCTTGAGTGAGCATCCCCTCCCCAGCTCCAAGTCCAATGAGTTCAAAGCTCGGAGCAATTCCTCGGAAAGAACCGAGCAAAAGTGTGAGAGAGAGGGGTGATGGGAGAGGGGCAACTTAGAGCCAGTCTCGGAAGAAGCTCGGAACTAGAGCTGACGGCAACACAAGAACGTCCTGTTCCCGTGACGGTGGTCTTCGGGGTGGTGATTCTGGTGGGTGTGGTATTGAGCGGATGGCTGACGCCACGGTTTCCGTTCAGGAACTTGATCGATTCGTCCATGTCCTCAGATCTTAAAGTCCAGCGCCAGACAGAACTGCCAAGTTTCTTCTCTGCTTACTTCTGCGACATTGTCAAGAAAAAAAAGTAATATGAGGTAGGTATCGAAGCTCGTAGATGTGGACTTCAAGGGAGCAAGTGAGCGGCGCAAGAACGTAGGTTCCAGCCGGTGATGAACTCCGGAGACGGAGAGGTTGACCGCGTTTGAAGACATGGAGTAGTTCAATGACGCACTTGAAGACATCGTAGTTCCTGTGCCAAGATCTTGGGACGGCGAGAGACACGAATGGAGCCTCAGTCATACTACTGTAGGAACACTGGACTCCTGTGGCGTCAATCTATCGCCTCCAGACTTTCCAGTCCTCAGACGTTGGGCTCTACATGTAACATAGCTTCACTCATGATTCATCTGCCCCAGACAAGGCTCGCCCAAATATTGACCTGTCACTTCCCCAGATTTTCCCCAACTTTTTAAATACTCCGAGATCCCAACGGTCTAGGCCACGTTTCCACCAGATAGAGAGCGAACCACACCTCGCAACCATCCCAGTAACAAGTAAAGCAGTCGGATATAAGGTGCTGGACCCAAATCCACGGTGGTCATCACGCGTCACGAGCTTATGCTGTGTCTCCATGATATAGTAATGGTCTGGCTGACAACAATTCATCGCTGAGGTCATGGACGGACAAACTCATTGTTGGTTGATGACCGAGACTGGAAGGTTAGACAGTAAGGCCGAGGAAGGAGTCTTTGGACCTCAGAACTGACAGCAGGATCTTGCACTTTGCGTTTTGTCTTGTGAGAAATGTGACGAATGCCACTTGCAAAATGCCGATGCCAGTGCCCGTAGTCATCTTGTGACGAGCTAAGAATCTGCAATGTAGTCGTGACAACTTGGCTGTGTCACCTTCCTTGTCTATCTTATTCCAGTCGAGGACATTTCTTACTCCAGTCGACTTTCAAATTGGGTTGTGCTACTCATTCGGTTTTTGGGCACCTCGGCCATGTGAGCGCTTCCCCTCCCTGAATTCTTTGTCTTCGTTCCTACAGCATTCAATGATCAGTTAGCTTTGTGAAACCAAGCCCTCATAACCTTCTCAAGCTTTCTGGCTTACAGATACAGTCCTCGTGGTCTTTCGGGGAGCATACGTAACTAAAAGCTGTCCCGAACAACCGGAGTGAACGTGATACTCGAATTCCACCCCACTTTGAACTGACTGTGGTGAGTAACCGGACTACCTCATCCGTCAGCAGTGGCGCACCTCCCTTTGACCATTTCAGACTTTCGGCTTCAATAAACATGGAATCAATCAATGCTCGACTACCTAGCTGGCCTTCCTTTTCGTTTCGGTTTTCGTTTATTGCTCGTTCAAAGGAAGAGATGGTGTGATTGATAGAGAACACCCGAACCCAGCCGCAAAACTTGGCACTCTTCGACGCACAACTCTGGATTGACATTTCGATTGAGGCCGTTGTTATCGACATTAGCATTCGTCAAGTTTCCTATGGGGTATAAATTCTAGAAAACCACCGCTCTCTCCGACCAAGTCGCTTGCTCATGACACTTCTCCAGAAGACAACGAGAACAACCGCCTTCGCCAACGCCATCAAGCCTTATGATTATACATTTTACGCCAACCAATCCCAAATCTTTTCAATTATGGTGACAGGAGGCTTATACTCTCTCTGCCAATGCTCATCCTCTGCATCAAGCGCCGCCTTTCCAGTCGTGAGATCGGCCTCTGATGGTTTTATGACCTTCGGTCGCTTGATAATCTTCCAGCCACCGTAGAGAAGGAAGAAGATGGGGATGCCAATGTAGGCAGCGATGAAATCTGTTTGCAATCATTATTAGTACTTCTATTGAGTGAAGCAGGGACACGCCCGGGGATCTCCACGAGGTGGCCGCTACATAGGCGAAACGGTGACATGGACGAAGTCAAGGGAGACTTACCAGCGACATCCCAATTGCCTTTGATGAAGACAGCAAACCCGCTGAAAATGATAATGATAGCAAAGTAGATAAGCGCGAACCATGCCGTGTATGGTTGAAACCTGCTCTTGAAGACCAAGGTATCGCGGCTAATGCCCTGAGCCTTTAGCGCCTTGTAGAAGCGAAGGTAAGCAACGCAGATCGAGCACCAGGTGAAGAGACTAGCGATGGTCGTTAAGTTCTGGAACCAGCTGAACGCCTTTGCGGCACCACCGTTGGGATCGACAGAGAGGTAAGTGAGACCGCCGATGATAGCCGTGGCGGCAACGGCGTAATAGGGGACACCCTTCTTACTGCAAGTGAGGAAGATACGTGGGGCCTGACGGTTCTGCGCCAAAGCGTAGAGGTAGCGAGAGCCGGTGTAAAGGAAGGCATTGCCAGAGGAAGTCGCGGAAGTCAAGATGACAGCGTTGATGATGGAGGGCAAGACGGAGATGCCAGCGTTCTTGATGCCGATAACCCATGGGGAGGCAGCAGCGTCGGAGCGGCCTTCGGCCTGAGCATCAAGGAGGCCCTTGTCGTTGGAAGACACAAGGACACCAATGGCGAGAGATCCCAAGACGTAGAAAAAGAGAATACGCCAGAAGACACGACGAACGGCCTTGGGGATGTTCTTGCGAGGGTTTTCGGCCTCACCAGCGGCAACGGCGACCATTTCCACACCGCCGTAGGAGAAGGCAGCGTTGACGAGGGTAGAAAAGAGACCCAGAAAGCGACCAAGGTCGCCGTGGACCTGGGGTGGATACTCTTTCATGGCGCCCGGGTTCTTCCAGTAGCGAAAACCAAGACGTTCGTGGCGCGGGTTTCCGCCAAGGTCGACAATGAAGGCCATGATGAGCAGGCCGACAATGGTAATAAGCTTCATAGATGCAAACCAGAATTCGGCCTCGCCGTAGAGGGAAACGGCAAAGATGTTGAGGAAAATGATGACAACCCAGATGATGCTGATCCATACGGCGACGTTGACACTTTGAGCACCTTCCCAGAAGCCGATGACAAGAGAGGCGGCCGAGATTTCGGCGCATAAAGTGATGGCGGCGGAGTACCAGTTATTCCAACCGACAGCAAAACCGAGAGCATCGTCGACGTATCGAGCGCAGAACTGAGGGATAGCACCGGGAAGAGGAAGCCATGTGGCCATCTCACCAAGACACTGCATCATACCGAAAACAGCGAGACCGGTGAAGGTATAACCGAGCAGGATGGAGAGAGGGCCAGCGTGGGTGAAGGCATTTCCGATACCGAGGAAGAGACCGGTACCAATAGTTCCGCCCAGAGCAATGAACTGAATGTGACGCGACTTGAGACTATGGTTGTCGTCAGCGCCGTGATTGCTGTGACGAGATTGGAGTGGTACTCACCCACGACTCACGTAGCCATACCTGGCCGCTTCGTCCTCACCACCAAGGACAGCGGCACCCTCCATGTAGGCATCGTTTTTCCTCTCGGATGAGCTGTGTCGTGAAGGGACGCCGGCCAATTCCGGGTCGGAAGAGTGTAGGTGTTTTTCCGCCATCGTTTCGACGTCGATGTTTGGAAGCGGGAGACGGTAGTCAGAGTAGCATCAGTAGTGCGACAAAAGACTGACTGCAGGCGCAACGCGTCAGGAAGGAGGGAGATCTGGGGTATTATAAAGGACGGGTAACGAGAAGGGAGGGGGGACGATATGTGTGTGCAAGGTTGAAGGTTCATGTCCCGCCCAGCCCAGACCTTGTTCATCCAATATCCGCGTGCGTCCTGGACGGCATAGCTACGCACACTAGTAACTGGATGATGAACATGGCTTTGCTTCTTCTTTGTTACACTTGACCGGGATCGTTGTCGGTGTCTCATATTGCAACCCTCCTATTGCCGGGTAGCACGCCACCAGTCTGCATGGCCAAATGTCCTGCGGTATGAGAGACTGGCCAATGGGCATAATTTGGCGAGAGATATATTCACAGCACCGCTGTAAGACAGTCCCTGAGTACCACACTGGGTCGCCAACCGCAGCCTTGGTGTCCGCCTTCGATGGAGTCCAGCTGCGATGATGGCGTACGAGGCTGTGTGGGGGGTCAACTTGAAGATAACAGGTCCGTTTTTGGAACGGGTACGCCGTGGTTTGGGAATGGTCGACTGGCTGCCATGTCCGTCACTGGTCGGGAACCAGGTTAGTCCTTGGCCACCTTCACCCCACTGCCTCCAGAGAGCTTTGACATGATATCGTTTTTGCATCACACTGGAGGAGTTCAACGTGTAGGTGACAAGCGAAAACAGAAGGGAATTAGTAGTGCTTTTGTCCACTGGACGGTATATCGGAGGACACTGACCGATTTGGATTGCTGATCCGGCATCGTCTGCCAGTCTCAAAGTGCATCGGACGCATACCACTCTCCTGGGACACTCGGGCATGTAGGTGGTCTGGAGCCTCTGCCTCAGCTAGGTGTCAGCCCAACCGCGGAGTGCCATCGATGTTCCTCTTGATGCCTTTGTTGGGTTGTCTGTTTTATCGTCCAGATGGCAGTGGTCATGGCAAAGCGACAGGGCAGATTTCGTACTGGAGTGACGCCGGGCAAGGCAAGGCAACGCAAGGCCGTTGACCTGACCAGAAAATGGGATCGGTCATCGGACGGGCTTCTGGCTGAATCTGACAATTGAAGTGCTTGCCGGTCGATTGTTGGTGGGTGTCGCACTGATTGTCGGTTCGGTGATCGTTTCTGGAACACATGCCGTCCAGTCTCGTCGGAGGGTCGTCCACCAGTTGGCACAAACAGGCAGAACTGGAGAGAACACTCCCACACTGCAGTGGGCTGCTCTGTCATTCGGTCCACGCACTCCCGTCTGGAAGGAAGGAAGTCATCGTCCCAGATTGAGACTGCAGTGCCTGCTCCTGGGCTGCCACCCGTCGAACGACACTGCCTCCTACGTCCCCCGTCGTCGTGTCTTATCACTTGACGTCGCGCGATTGGTTCGAGTGGCATGTGAATGGTTCCCATCCGGGGAAGGTACGGAAATCCACTCTGATGCCAAGCTCGCCAAGAACCCCAGACCGGAAGGTGCGCTAAAACCACAAAACAAGGGCCCAATTAACCCACTATATCCACTGACGCCTCCCTAAAAGCGGGCGCTATTTGAGTCCTCCACTCTTCACTTCAGCCAAGCCGGGTGCCTTCTTGTCATGTGGATCTCATCTTGTGTCTCGACTTCATTCGATCCTTCTTTTATTCAAGCTTTTTCCCCAAGATGAACCAAGCCGGGACAAGACATGTCGAGCACGCCAAAGGCGATCAAGCAAAGCGGGCTGACAAAGGGGCAGGAGCAGTTAAGCTTTTGGAGTGAGGGGACCATCGGTCTCATTTCCCTTTCCCAAGGCAAGAGAGACGGGAGCAGAGGCGGGACTGGAGCACTCCATCCCGTCCTTTCCCAACGTTGTCGATTGGGCGACCAACATCCCGTCCATGTCGAGTCGATGAAACATACGTACCGTATCGTACGCGTTCCTTATCACGATCTTGTCCCATTTCGGCCACCGGTTCCCACCCCCATTCTTCCTCGCTTGTCGGCCAATGTCGTCGCGTTCCCCCCCTCTGCGCTCCCAGTCATGATAAGGAAGGAAGGTTGCTCGAGTTCGGGTGGAATGGCTCCTTCCTTGGACAGGGAATCGAAACACTTTCATCGATACCTCTACTTTCCGAAACTAGTACCAAGTATCGTCAGTTGGACCCTTCCGTCATCAACAAAGAACATTGTCTGCGTTCGTCCGAGGGACTGCCCGTTCTGCCCAGCCCGCCCGGTCTAGTCCACCCAATCTACCAATCCCCATTCGACAACCGCTTCGACCATTTAGATGAAGCCGTTCACCAGATAGATTGGGTGCCATTGCGGCCATGGCTTGCATCCCACCCACTAGCAGTCTACACACCTCCCTGGTCACCACGCACAACCAGGGGCAATTCCCCCATTCCATTTCTGCGTACCATGTAGCCCCCATTTGTTCCCTTGTCCTGCCTGCTTCTCGAACCGAAGTCCAGACTGAGAGGATCCTTCACCTGCTTCAACCCGTACTATGAACCGATAACTGAAGCGAGCTGCGGAAAAAAGAAAAGGCAAACTGCCTTCTTCACACGCATCTCAAGACGTGGCCAAGTTCCGTGTCTGGTGCACAACAGTTTTTGACACCTTACTGATTGACGAGAAATCTTTGCATTGATCCATACAGTCCCTCAAACATGGTGGCATGGAGCCGTTGACAGCCTCCTTCATGCTGAAAGGCTAGTGCTTACCAGCATGTCTTATCTTCACCGTTCTGACCGTTCAATTGTGCGCACTTCTCGGTCAGTGGAACACAGCCTTTCTTTACTGTGCCATCTGCCTACTTACGGGGCCCATGGTGACTCCATTTCACTTGGACCCAACAGCATCGGGTCTTGGTGAACCTTTTGTTTCCACAAGTTCATGAAAGCAAAGATTACCCAATGGTACCTAGACATGATAACTTCAAATTTTGCACTTTACAGCCACTCGGGCTAACAAGAGCCTCAGTCACCAGCTGTTCAATCATGCCAAGCCCATCCGAAAAACGATGAGCACCAGATTTTCATGTCGGAGGCGAGATTCAGGCGAGGTGCCACAGACACACGACCTTCCTGTCGTGTGCGTGGCGTCTCCCCCCTTCAAGGCTTCGCATCGAGGCAGACAGCTTCTGCTGCAACTCAACAACTCAGCTCCTCAAAATGCGACCTTGGGCTTACATTGAGGCAACATCAAAAACAAGATTCGAGGTTCTAGAATCCTTCTCTTTCCCAGCTACAATCCCATCCAAGCAGTTTGGTCTGAACATGTTGGCCACCGCGGCCGACCCAGCGACCATTGCAGGGGTCCCACACGTACCATGAGCCACTGCACCATCAATGAGCCATTTCATTCCTTCATTACCTTGGAATTTCGATTGGGTAAATGCATATATATGTTGCTCAGCCTGAAGTGTACCTCTGGGTAGCCGAGGTATCTTATGCCCACTGTCAATTGGTAAGTGTGGAAAGCGGTCTTCGTAGAAGAATTCGCCCTGTATCCGTAAACCGTAGCGATGTGAGAAGGACTGGACGATTCTGCTGAAGTACTTCAACCCTTGTGCCATCACATCACAAGGCTGCAAAGCCGACACTGCAACACATGTCGATTTGATGTGTTGAGATTGCTATATTTCTCTTGGCCATCCAGTCATAGACTTTCTACTCATTTCCTTACCTAACAGTGGCGCCGTCTCCATCTCTTCCCCGGACCAAAGGACCCTTGGGTTCACATTGATGGCTTTATGGCTTCACTTCCCCGTGGGGTAATACCCTTATAACGCTGAGGTGTCTTCCCGTGTTTGACATATGCCTTGAGGGAACATCATTTTCACTTGATCAATTCTGAGGGCTGGAGGTGCCATTAATCCCCTTCGCCTTGGAAGGCAGTAGATACCGGCGACAGGGATCAAAGGTCTTGCATATGGTACATTCAGCACGATCATTTTCAGGGCCTCACCACATGCCCCGAGTCTTCCACACAGGAGACATGAGTCCATGTCACCAACTTACAGGTACCTACTGTAAAGCAGCAATGGAGGTCACATCCGATTGAGGTGCCGGGAAACTTGCTTCACTTTTTGTTTCACTTCAAGCGCGCGATCAGTGTCTGTCAGGGCTCTTCTTCCGGCGGCCGCTTTCAGTAGTTCTTTTTCGACCTCGTGCAAACGAATGCCACCCGCTGCATAGTACAAACCGACGGAACTCACCTTGACGAATTACCATGCATCTATTTTCGAGCCACACGGAGTGCGTAGATATACTGGACAATGGGTGCGGTTTGTGTTCATGTTGAACGGTTTGAAGGGAAGTCGACCCTTCTTGCCGTCTGTCTCGAGGATCGAAATGTCTCATGTTTCGCCGCTGGCAAATTCATCTATATACTCAGACATGATGCCTGCCGAAACGGCTTGGAATGCTTGGCGTGCACGTGCGTACTCGATTGGGCCCAGGAAAAAAGAGGATATCGACCCTAACCCTACTTTCTGATAAGAATGTCAAACTAGGAGCGGAAACTCCTGTACTTATACCAATCATTGTAGATCGAGAGGAGTGAATTCTGGTGACGGAATTCTGGTGATTCTGGCCAGAATAAGAGGTTTCAAGTCGTATTTGAATTCCTTCTGTCACCTCCTTCTCTCTTCCAATCAGGCATCATCAGCCAATCAGAGCGCGTAGATAAACGTGTCTGATCCTGCTACCCGAGTCAAAGGATGTGGGGCGTGCGTGCTCCGGGCCGCGCTACAGTACCTCTAACCACCAAACCAGGGGCAGCATTGCCCTGATGTGTATTGCCCCGCCATCTCCCAATAGGTCGTCGGAATAGAGTCAGAAGTACAAGCTGTATTGGTTTTGGAAATACAACCAGAACAATCCAGAATCAACAGCAATTGTCACCGCCAACACGTCGGCATGCGGTTCCGATTCGGCGCTCTCCCGGAGCGTTCGGCAAGTTTCCGCAGCGGGGGCTTTGATGATCTTCGGCGCTAACGAGCGTGCGACGGCGAAGGGAACTGGGAATGGGGTCAAAAGTGGGCTCGGCATTGACGCGTGGGAAATCGGACAGGATTTATGACGCCGTAGTCAAGCTTACAAATCGCTCTCGGATGCCTTTAATTTGAACCACTCCTTTCCCCTTTCTTCGAGTCTTTCCTCCTTTCACCGGGCAGGTATCACCAAACCGCTGAACACCACAAACAGACATCACAATGGCCTCTAATCCTCCCTCCAAGTGCTGCGTCATGGGCTTCCGCCATGAGTAAGTTTGACAACCAACCTCCCTACACCACTGTCTGGTCGCTGACACCTGTTTGCTTCCAGGGGCGAGCCAACCGGCACCATGACCAAGGTCGCCGACAAGTGGGACGCCTACATCGCCCAGCCCACTGGCTCCCAGAAGACCGGCAAAGCCCTCCTCTTCCTTCCCGACATCATCGGCATCTGGCAAAACTCCAAGCTGATGGCCGACCAGCTGGCCGCCCAGGGCTACCTTACCATGGTTCTCGACATCCTCAACGGCGACCCGCTCCCGCTCAACCGCCCCGACGACTTTGACATCATGGGCTGGCTGACCAAGGGCAGCACCGGCGATAACCCGCATACCAAGGACTTCGTCGATCCCATTGTGCAGGCCGGAATCAAGGCTCTGAAGGAGCAGTATGGAGCGACCAAGATCGGAGCGTTGGGATACTGCTTTGGTGCCAAGGTAAGCTCCGTCCCTTTCTCTTTTCTGCCCCCCACTGGAAGCGCTGGTCTTTTCCCCTTTCAGTTGCCAACAGTCACTGACATGCCCAAAAGTCCCTTGTCCGCAACATGACGGCCACCGCCCCCTACACCGGCATCGACGTCGGCTTTGTCGCCCATCCCTCCTTCGTCGAGGAGGAAGAGCTCGCCGCCATCTCCGGTCCTTTGGCCATTGCCGCCGCCGAGACTGACTCCATTTTCCCTGCCGAGCTGCGCCACAAGTCCGAGGAGATCCTCAAGGAGACGGGTTTGCCCTACCAGGTCACCCTGTACTCTGGCGTCTCCCACGGCTTCGCCATGCGCGCCGATCTCAGCAAGAAGCCGGAGAAGTTTGCGAGGGAGCAGGCGTTTGCGCAGGCTGTCGCTTGGTTTGGAGAGTATTTGGAGTAAAGGGGATGGAGTAGATGAGATACCCGAACCTGGTTGGAGGTGTTTGCTAATTGCTTGCCCGGGAGCAAGCGAGAGAGCGAATATCGATCGTTGTTGATACGTAAATGTACGAACCAAAGGACGATTTGATGAATGTGAAGAACAAAAGTACAGTCGCATAAAGCCCACACGCCCGTTTCCCTCCTTCATATCATGGCAGCTTCATGGTCCCTCCACCCAACTCCATGCCTAGCTCCATTCCCCTCGACTTTAGAGAGCCTTGTGGTAAACTCTATACCTAGCCTTCCTCGCCAACAACGGCCCTAGTTCTGGAATCCCCTCAGACAAATCCATCTCCTTGACATTTTTATACCCAGCTCTCTCGTACCAACCGGCCAGCTTCGTCTTCTCCTCATGTTCCCACCCGTCTCCCACCACCAGCTCCACCTGCATCTTCTTCCCTCCCTTCTCCCTCGTCCAGTCCTCGGCGAACTTGAGAAGGTCCCTCCCCACTCCGGAACCCCGGTATTCAGGACGGCAGATCAGACATCCAAACTGTCCGATTGCTGTATCCGGGTCGGGGCTGAAACGCGCAGTGGTGCGAGAGTCGGCCTCGGAAGGAGAGGGGAGGAGTTGCACGCGGCCGCAGCCCAGCAGGTACTCAATGCGCGGCGGCCGTGAGTACCCCGGGAGCCATGCGATGGCTAGGGTCCCACTGGTGATGAAGGAGCGGACTTCGGCCGGGTTGGTGCGGGTGAAGGGATCGATGGACCAGAAACCGCGCTCGGCGTCGGTATAGATCTCATTGATAAGGTTGGTTAGACTGTGGACGAAGGCATCGTCTTCGGCAAGGGAAGCTGGAGCGATGAAGATGTCGGCGTTGATACGGCCCTGGAGAGGAGGACTGGGGAGTTGGGAAGTTGCGACGGCCTCATTGGTGTTGCGCATGGCGACTTTTTCGTCGGCGAGGGGGGCCGAGGGGGCGGTGGATGGCGACTCCGTTGAGGCCGTCATTTTGATTCAAAGCTGAACGTGAGGTACTGTAGCGAGTGGTGAATCACCTGTATTGGTGTGGTAGGGCCCGATGGGTTTTATATCCGGAGTCATAGGAGTGATAGCCCGAATCCTTTCAATTGCAAGTGACTCAATCCACTATTTCCAGTCTTGGGCCGACCCTTGTCAGCGAAAGGGCGTGGAGGCGTGGTAGGCCATATCAGTCACAGCAATTCTATTTTTAGCCGTATCATAGAGACGATGGTTTCTTGCCTGTCCTCGAGGCATATTCTCAATGTCGGGCTTCACGACATTGCCGGCGTCGGTTCTCCGATTCTTCGCCGACGAGGGTCATGAAGGTTGAAAGGCGACAAGCCGACAAGGGGGTGTCAACCCTAACCCCAAGCACATGATGCTGCAAGGGGCCAAGACCTTTGAATTATGTACGTATGTGAATGATGCACAGACCGAGGCGGCTATAGTGTACATCGCTGCAGCTGAATCGGGGTCCGGTGCAGGAAAAATAAATTAAGGCAACGACATCGATTCGAGATCTGATGTTTCGGGTAAGTATCTTGAAAGTGAAGGACGTAGGAAAACAACAGCAAAAAGTCAGACTGATCAGATCGGGAATCGAACACGGGAGGTTCAACTCAATACCGACCAGATGGCAGACCTACGAAAATTCGATATCAACGGAAGATAAGGAATGTTGCCGGGGAGCACTTTACAGGGGTCTCCAGCAGCTCATTAGTGGAGCTACCTTAACGGCCAGGAACCGCAACGTCATTGGCGCCAAGGCTGAACCACACGCCGATCATCCACTTGTTCTTTCTCGCTGTCCGCCTCGTGTCATTCTTTGATCTTTTGTCACGACACCCGCCTTGCCCAACAACAGCAACATGAAGGCACTGGACCGGTCATAACAGCTATACGAAGTGCGGTAAATACTCCGCCCGGACGAAAACCATGGAGGGGGACACTGCGGTCCCAGATGGCGGACAGCAGAACGGCCACGGCCACGACACCAACACACAAGCACATGCCCCGATAGTACAAGTCATTGATGTGAAAGCAAGCGTCGAAGATGGCGATGAGCACTCCAGCACAGCACCCACCCATCTCCCATCTCCGCACCTCACCGCAAGCGACCTCGCAGCTCGGGCGGCCCACGACACCAACATGACATCCGCAAGAGTTACGAACGGCACCACGGCTCCAGAACACTCGAACGACCGCCTCACCCCCTTCAACGAGACATCGTCCTCTACTGGCCCGACAGAGCCCTTCGTGCCTTTTGTCCATCTGCCCACACCCGAGCCTGAGACTCAGCCAGCCACTCCTGCGCAACCTCCCAGTCCCAGCCGCTCCAAGACCCGAAGCCGATCTGAGACAAAGACAGGTGCTCAAAACGGAGTACGCCGTCTGTCCGCCTCCAAGATCCAAGAACTGACAAACGCCCCCGAGTCCCTACCCATTGCGACAGCTCCCGACCGCCAGCCGGCTGAGCCTACATTCTCACCCGCCCTTGCCGAAGTAAGCTCTAGACTCCAGTCTCAACTGGGACTTGCAAATGGGAATGGTCACAGCACATCGAGCACAAGAACACACCCACAAAGGCCTGCAATCGCCGCGCGAACCGTGTCTACTCCACCGGTGAGCAGGCGTCAGACGGCCACGGCTGCCCAACAAGCTCACCCAGCTCAGCAGGCCTCGATCCGTCGCAATTCGTACCAGCCGAATCCTCGACCGCCGCCTCTCGATCTCGATGGAACGAGCAACTTGAACACTGGCGCCGAACCCAGGACCGCCCCTCCACTGCGCCAGCCCGAGCCCGACCCGGCGCCCCCATCTCCCATACCGTCCTCTATCCCTCTACCGCCCATGTCAGTCCCTACGCTCCTGCAACTCGAGCTGGCTGGATCGCGACCGAGTCCTCTCTACATACACCACTCATACACAAGCGACATCCCCTACGAGTCGAGCGCAATCAAGTTTGAGCGGTTGAAGAACTTCTTGGTTCTGCCCTTTGTCCTCGAGCGATGCATAACCTTTGGTGCTTTGGCTTGTCTGGACGCTTGGCTGTGGACCTTCACCGTCCTACCTATGCGCTTTGGCATTGCCGTGTGGATTCTCCTTCAATGGTGGGGATATGTTATCGGCAAAGAAACTCGATGGGTGGTAGGATTCGTGTGGTACGGCTTAGGCCGCATGTGGAAGCGCGGCCGTCGGGGTCGGTCTGAGTCAGTCGCCAGTACGGATGGTCAGCGGTCCAGGAGTCAAAGTCGGGTACGGGAGCAGCCAGTCAATCACAATAGCACTGCTGCTACTACCACCACCACCACCACCGGCGCCGACACTCGTCATCCCAACCTCCGCATGGCTCCCGGGACTAAGCCCCCCGGTCCCAGTCGTCGTGGGAGAGGCTACCTCGGTCACCGCCGCACCAAGTCCAACCCGTCCAACCTGTCACACTACAACAAAGCCGACCTGCTCCAAGGCGCCGTCGTCATCTTCTCCTCCATTGCCCTCATGTCTCTCGACGCCTCGCGCATGTATCATTCCATTCGCGCTCAATCCGCCATCAAGCTATACACCATCTACAACCTGCTCGAAGTGGGCGACCGTCTGTTGTCGGCCCTCGGGCAAGACATCTTTGAATGCTTGTTCAGTAACGAGACGTTGTCGAGGGATAGCCTAGGGCGCAGCAAGGTCTTGCTCCCCTTGGGCATCTTCTGTCTGGCGCTGGTGTACAACATCCTGCATGCGGTGATTCTGTTTTATCAGGTCATTGCGCTGAACGTGGCTGTTAACTCGTACAGTAACACGCTGTTGACACTTCTTATGTCGAACCAGTTCGTCGAAATCAAGTCAGCCGTGTTCAAGAGGTTCGAAAAGGAGAACACCTTCCAGATGGCTTGTGCCGATATCGTCGAGCGGTTCCAGCTGTGGATCATGCTGTTGATCATCGCCATGCGTAACGTGGTGGAGGTTGGCGGGCTCAGTGTGCCTGGGGCAGGCAGCGAAGATACGGGCCCTAGTTCCTTTCCTCTACATACGGCGAGTATACTGCCCGCGAGCTTTACGATTCTGCCCAACTGGCTGTGGTCCGGCGAAGTACTGAGCCCGCTCGCTGTGGTCATTGCAAGCGAGATGGTGGTGGACTGGATCAAGCATGCTTACGTGAACAAGTTTAACAATATCAAACCGAACTTCTATAGCAGGATTTTGGATATATTGTGCAAGGACTACTATACGAATGTACGTCTGCCCTCTCCCCCTTCTTACCTTCATCGTCTAACAGCAGTTCAGGCCTTCGTAACGCCCCAGTTAACCCGCCGCCTGGGCCTGCCCCTATTGCCCTTGTCCTGCCTCTTCATCCGCGCCTCATTCCAGATTTATAACATGTTCGTTGCCGTACATGTCCCTCCTCCTCTGCCGCCTTCGACACAAACTTCTCTCTCCGTCGAATCAGCTACACCCTCACCCGCCATGCTAGCCGCTTTGGACCATCTAGACAAGAAGATCCGCATTGCTCTAGGCCGAGCGGTATACGGCTACCCTTTCGGTGAATCCGGTGGACTGGGGGATAATGTTTATGGCCCGGCCTCGGCTCCCACAGGGGATACACCCGAACCAGCCGGCCTCGCAACTCACATTTGGCACTCGGTGTCCAAGTGGTTGCCAGAGTGGAAATGGACATCCGACGACGTCATTGCTTTTCTGACCATGATAACCGTCTTCCTTCTGATCTTTTTGGTGCTTCTCATCTTCAAGCTTTTGTTGGGTATGTTCTTGCTGCGGTATTCGAGAGACAGGTACGCAAGGATGAAGGTTAAGGAGGCTGCCATTGCTGCTGGACAGGCGGAAAAGGAGTCATTTGAGACACAAGGCAAGAGAGTAGGGGGGTATGGACAGGTCGAGGTGGGAGAAGAAAGAAGGAGGTGGATATTTGCCGATGATCCTAAGGGGCTGAACAAAGTACGGGAGAGGGAGAAGGGCGGCGGGGGAGGGAAGGGAGGAGGGGGTGGTGGGAAACCAGAAAAGGATTTGGGAACAGTGATGAGGTATGAGATGATTGCCAAGAGGATTTGGTAAAGGGATCCATGCCATTCTGAAGTTGGGAGAAATCGAAGCTTGTAATGGTCAATTCATTATTACTTCCTGGATCCGGCGTCACCAAACACATACATAATATTATTATCTGTATTATATACATACCTACCTATGTCTGTCATTGGAGTTCGGTGGGAACCCAGGTTGATACAAAATCTGTCCTTCCTGATAGCCTGCGGCATCTACATCTTGATTGAGTCTTGTGCCGTCGTCGGCAATTCAAACGCTGTCTTTCGTTGAATAGAGGTGCGTGAGTTTCCTACCCGAGCAAGGTAGCAGATACCTCTACCTAATGGTGTTTACAAAGGAATAGCAACACTCTTATCACTCTTCAACCACCCTTTTTTCGCAAGACCATACCGCTCGGTTCCTAACCTGTTTGAATGTCAGCTTTCTCGGCCCTCATGCAAGAAAATGGAAAGAGAGATACGAACGTCCACTCGTAATGCCCAGTCATGATCGTATACACCGAGTGCAGGTACTTCTCAACATGCTTCCTCACCATAGGGTCGGGATCTTGAGCGACCATCTCCCGAAGTCTCGCGCCAGCTGCTTCCATCTTGTTACTGACTTGACGCAAATCTTCAACGAGGAGATTGATAGCCTTATCCAGATTATGACCAGATGTGCGGTAGGTGAGGTCAATAGCCACAAGCCCAGGCCAGTTGACCTTCATCTCTTTTGGCAGGGAAAGGACGTCGTTTACACTGCCGCCGCTCTTTGTCAGTCACATATAGTTCACAAGAAAACAAACAAACACCCCGAGAAATGGGCTGGCAGGACGGCACGAAAGCAGGGGAAAAAAATAGGACTCACATGACAACATTCTTGGCCAACTCCTCCCACAGCGTCTTCATCTCTTCTGTTTGAAACAGATATTGAGGAATCGTGATCTCGGTCATGAACTCCCCCAAACAAGAGAAGAATCCGATCCCATTCGTGCCGCGCCTATAAACCCAGTACTCTTTCTCGGTAGGAACTGTGCCGTTGCCGCCCGCGTAGGTGGCTACTTCCAGCGCGGACGAGTGCAGGTACAGTTGGATCTCCGAATAGAGTCTTGTTCGCTCAGTGAGAGTGCAGCCTTGTTTGAAGCCCTCGGCCGCAGGTTTGAAGAGGACCGAGTACTTTGTCGGCGGGGGCGGCTCCTTCGACGACGAGGACGAGAGAAAGAGGGAATCGGGGTCGGAGGAGTCCTCTGATTGATGGTGGTGGCGGCGGCTGGTCGGCGGAGAAGAAGGAAGAACACATGCAATGTTGCCTGAAGGTGGGGGGGATGGAGGATCAAGACCCAAGTGAAAGGCAACGTATCTCAATGCCCTTTCACTTAAAGTGGTCTTCGAGTCCAAGTCCAGGTCCTGAGTTGATGACTCCTCGGCTTCATCATCCCATACGAAGATCCAGAAGACAAACCAGCTCATCGTCACCAACCGCTCAAGTGAAGAACGGGGCCACCAACTGCATGTCTATCAGTGTCCATTTCCCCCCCCTGAGGTGTCCGTCGCTAATGGTTTATTGATGTTGACGGGTGGAAGAAAAAAAAAGGGGGGGGTACACTCACTATGCGCAGAGCAGAGCAATGTTGATCTTCTTCGCTTTCGCCCTTATGTCCGGTTCCTCGATCCTGTCATCAATGTTTTTCTCCACAATCTCACAAAGTCGGCCATAGTGCGGGCTGAGCTCCGTGGGAAAGGAGGAGAGAATTGACTGGAGACTGGGAAAGTGCAGTTTGAGGCCATGGAGGTTGGCATAGACTTGGGCCGTTGTTGGTCTTTCAGAGGTGGCGGGGGCCATGGTCACCTCCAGCGTCATGTACGAATGAGTAGAGTATGTAGGTTGTAGTGTTCAACGAAAGATTGGGGCAAAGGGATACAGTCGGAGGATACAGCTCGATGGATGACCGCCTTACGAAGAATCGGGTGGTATATTCGAATGAGCGTTCAAAACCAAACAAACGGTATGGTGTACGTGTGGAAAAGAAGTAGATTGAGAGACATATGGGTCAGTGTCTCTGGCAAAGTTACATTCTTTTTGCCTTGAAGGTCCTCCCTTTCTTATAGACAGTTTGAGCCGCGCGGAGGATTCTGTGAGAAAACCACTGGTACCTTTGGAATCGTCATTTCCAGCTCATTCTAACGATAGCCTGTTTGGTCCGGTACGTCAATCCTGGAGTCCGGAATACGGATCCGAGGCCCAGAATCCTTCTTCGACTTTTTATTTTCGTTTCTACCCTGTAAAGTTGTTACAGGACGAAACCGTTCGCACGCCGGAAACATAACAATTGGTTTCCCTCATTGTAATGCTGGTATGTACGACTTCGTACAACTGACGTTGAGGCCGAAGGAACTGTGAAGGTCGAGGTATTCAAGGATGATGCCACGGGTGTACTGGGTGTGCACGGCAGCACCTAGGGTTGGACCAAAGCTTGAGAGTGTTGATAAGGAGCAAAAGGTCTGCAGAGTTATTCACGCTAACAATGTGTGGACTGGGTCGGTCTGGCTGGCTGGGAGTGCTAGCTGGAGGTCTCTGCAGCAGCTGCATGGCCGGCAGTACGCACCGCTGACACAGGAGCTCAGTCCTCTCGTCATGTCCATCTCTGTCTTCTAGACCGGCATTTATACGAGCTATACGAGCCCTGGGTCATGAAGGCTGCTTTGATTGTCGAGGTTCATGGCTGTTGCCGGGAAGGGGGCGCTTGAAAGTGTAACTGGGAGGGTGCGGATGCGGCGGTGCCTGGTGCCTCAATCGATAGGGGGCATCCATGCGAGTATAGACCAGTAATCAGACTATAAATATCTAGGTATCCTCAAGATTGGTGGTAAGATGGGTGAGTCAAGGTTTTACTGTCGTCACGTATCAACAGACTTACGATGTTTATGTGGCGGTCAGACTGGAGCGGGAACCGAAGCCGTGCCTACAAGGCTTGGCCAACCAAAGGGATTACCCAGGAGGTCTGCAAGCCTGAGGCGAGATGTATTTGAGCCAACAGCCTCAATACATGATGCACTCCCACCATCGAGTCACCAACTGAGCGGCGTAAGATGACACATCCATGTTCGATATCGAGTCGCTTATAACCGTTCCTTTGCAAAAATCGTGGTAAGGACTCCATGAAGAGCGTCAAGGTGTGAGAAACGCAAGTTCAGGAGCCGTGCAGCTGCAGGGCTGGATCTTTGCATATTGGTTTCGTCAGAGCCATGAAATTTTTGTAATAACGTACCTCTCCATCCGATTCGTGTGGTCTGACTTTTGCTGCAGACGTTCGGATGGAAATGTATGCGCATTGATGGAAGAGGATGTCGTATTTTGGCCGGGAAACTGGGTGTCATGGTGATTCTTCGTGCTTTTGACATGGGATTCCGGTGTTCTTGAGCGTCTCATCTCCTCCCCTTCATTGTTTTCCCTGTGCACCAGACAAAGCACGCTCGACAACAACAAGTTGCAAATAGATCACATCTGAATTCTGCGGTGTGTGGATCACTGGTTGTGTTCATTTGTATGATGAAGAGGGAAAGAAGAAAGGAAATCAACCAGTGCGATAGGTATCGACCAAAAAATGACAAGGACTTATCCAATCTGTGAAAAGACAATAAAAGAAGGAAACCAACACCAACCACCTCATACGCCGTAGTTCCTGCCCCATCATGTTCTGTTAAAATTCCGCCGCGGCTGCGTGTCCAGCACATGTTGTTGATTGCTCCGGTGGCGATTGCCCTGTATCCCGATGTCCAAGCCCGTTGATCCCATCAATCCCATCCCGTAATCCCAAGTCCCACCTCTTGCCAGCCAAAAAATGCCAGAATTCCATCTCTTACATGTATCGTGTTTATATCCGCGTTCATCTCAAATCATTGCTCATCCCATCATGACCTACGCCTTAGTTCGCGACACTCGCCGCCCTTCTCACATGGCGCTCTCCATGTCCCTCCTTGGAGGTCCGTCTCTCCCGTTCTTTATCCTTCCCATCTCTCTCGCGCCTCTCCTCCCTCTCTTTGGTGGCAATCTTCTCATCCTCCTTGTCCTTCATCTTCTTGAACAACGACTTAATCATGTTGCCCTTCTTCTTTGTGCTGTCTCCATCATCCAGATTCGCCTCCTTGCTGCTGCTGATGCCGACTCTCGAGGCCGACTTTCGCTCTCTGTCCTTGGTGTCCTTCTCTCTCTCTCTGTCTAGTTTCGAACGCGACGAGGAGCCACCGCCAGCTTCGCTGCGAGTGCTTGTGCGGTGAGAGCGAGAGCTGCGATAGGACACTTGAGAGGAGGCGCCGACTTCGCTTGTGGCTTTATCCTTCTTGTCGCGAGAGGATTTGCGGTCGGGAATGTCGAGATCGTCGCGGTGGCGTCTGCTGCTGCTGGTCTTGTCTTTGCTGTCTCTCTCCCTCTCCTTGTCCTTCCCATCCCGTTCCTTATCAGAATGTCCACCAACAGCCTCCCTCAACCTCTCCCTCAACCCACTCGGCTTATGCTCCTTCTTCACCGTCGTGCGTCTCGCCAATCCCACCTGAGAAACCGAATCATCGGGACTTACCTCCACCACCTCCTCCTTGTACTTCTGTTTCAACGCCTTATCCGCCTCCGGACTCCTCAACTCCACCTCCGCCTCCTCCTCACTCGTCACCACGATCCCGCGTCTCCAGCACTCAATCGTGCTCAACTCCTCATCCAACACCAACGCATCCTCATGCCCTCCCGCAGCAGCACCTGCCCTTGCCCCCGCATCAAATCCCATAGCCCCCATAGCAGTCCCATTCCCGGAAACCGCATTCATCTCCACCGCCGCCTCCTTCTGCTTCGCATTCCCCTGCGTGATCTTCCGGATGATCTTCCACCCGCCAAACATGACCACCATCACTCCGGCCGCAATGCCGGTACCAATCAAGAACTGCGGCGAGCAAAGCAAGGCGTAAATGGCCGGACTGCCACCCTTCAAGAATGCCAAGAAGGCAGGTGACATCTTCCCAATCATCGCACTGAGCTCGGCCAGCGACAGCGCCACAGCCGCCGCGGCTTCCGGGTTCTGCTGCAGATTTTCAATTATGCACGACGCTGAAGCCTGCACGCAGTGTGCTTCGAGGAGGAAGGATTCGATGCGGGAGATGAGATCCAGCGCTTCCTTCTGTTCGGGTTCCTGGGGCGCGAAGTCGGGGGCGAACGTGGGGATGCCCTGAGGCGGGACGGGGTAGGAGTGATTCATGCTGTCATGGGAGGAGCGGTGACGGCCGCGGTTGAGGTCGTCGCGCAGGTGAAGGTCAGGAGGAAGGTCGCCGTAGGCTAGGTCTTGGTCCCGGTCTCTGTTCTTGTTCTTGGACGAGGATGGGGTTTCGGTTTGGCGACGGTGAAAGGGGTTGCGACTACGACTGCCCGAAGCGGCCACGTCGAAGGTCGGGCTGGCAGGCATGGTGTTGGCGTGGTTCAGACTTGGTCGCCTGGCGAGTTCTAGGTCCTTGCTGTACCCCTTTGGTGGCTTTGACGGCGCCGTTGCCGATATTTCCGTGTACGTTTTCAGATTTCCCTCTGTTAGGGCTGTCGAGGGATTAGGCGCTTGAGACGATGATCGCTTGCGGTGGGACTTGCTGCGCGAAGTAGAGGTGTAGCGAGAAGCAAAGGAACGGGTGTCATCATCGTGGGATTTGCGGCGCCCACTGCTGCTGTTGCCGATAAGCTTACGATCCCTAATGCTGCCGCCATCGAGCGTCTTGATGGGACCCGGGGAGTCGTATTCATCGTATTGTCGGCCACGAGGAACTGTGATGTGGACTTCTCCCCGTGATCGGCCCGAGGAATAGCTGCCGTTCTGGAAGTCGCGCTCCGCCCTTGCGGCTTCTTTCCTCTCACGGTATGTAGCTTTAGCATCTTTGAAGATGCCCATCAGCTGCCTCCCCTATATCGGAGTTGTTAGTTACTGTCAAATTGGCAGGTGAGACAAGGTGGGTGACACGGATGTCAACGGTCTGCCCAAAAGACAGACAGGGGAGTCCTTACCGTGCTGATGATCTTGCCCGAATTGTTGACAATGGTGATAATCTCTTCGCCTGGCATCTTGGCGCCTGATATGTATCGTCTTTTTGTGTTGTAGTGTTGATATGTTGGACCTGAAAAGGGCCAGAAGGTGCTGTAGGCGTTGTGAATAGCGGGGTACCACGCCTGGAGTTATCGAGTGTTATTCCCAGCCTGTGGTTGACTCGATCGTGGCTGGCGCTGGCGGGTCTTTCGGCGCCGGTGTTTGTATGTGAGGGGTATAGGTGTGCCTAGCTGACGAAAGAGCAACGAAGAATCGAGTAACCAAACAAACCTAATGTATGGGAATATGGTTTCGGTGCGTCAATGAAGAAAGATGCAAGAGTTAAAGTGGTTTTAGTCAAAGGATTGCGCGCTTCGCTTCTCTTCGCTTGTCGGTGCCAGCCCCCCGGGAAAGAAAGTGTGGATACAGCGCCACTCTTCTCTCCCCCAGGACTCTTGATGTTCCACTCTCTGGGCTGACCTCCGATCAGATCAACTGAGGCAGCCGGGATCTAGGTTGTATGTTTCGATCTTAGGACGGTCGTATGCAACTGATTTGAATGTGAAGAGTCCAGCAAGATGTGAGAAGAAAGAGACGAAAGACGAGAAGTATGTAGAGACAAAAGCAAAAGCCAAGCAAGAACAGAGTCAGAGTAAGTAAGGTTCAGGTTCAATACGCCAGGGCCGGGGGTATTGCCATTCGTTAATTCATCATGCTATATGACAAGCCCTTGCTCCCTCGTAGGTTTTGTCCGTACACTATAATGGAAGTCAGTCCAGTCAAATGTAAGTCACCGTCTTTTCTTTTTCACTTTTCTTACTGGCGAAGAGACAGACCGGAAAGTCCAGAAGCAGGGAGTGGGATGAGGGGAAATGATGTGGTGGGAATGAGAATCGGAACCAGACCTCCTCCACTGGGAGGTACCTTGTATCGATTCATGCTTCATGCTTCGAGCAAGTCTTGTCCTTGCAAGCCCTCCCACGTTTCCCCGTTTCGGAGACGAGAACATCGACAGCCAGCCAGCATGCCTAGCATAACCAACGCAAGCAATCAACGCAAGCAAAGCAGCGGGAATGGCGGAAGATGCGTAGCATTTTCAGGGCTGCTTGCTGCCACTTGGAAGCTGACGACACTTGACCAGTCAATGTTGAATGTCACTGATTAGACGTTACCATTGATTGGGCAAGATGTAGCCAAGATGTCAGAAGTCGGGCTTCCTTGCAGTTTGTCACATTTGAGAACTTCTCGAACCTCAAGTCATCTTCTCGCTCTCTTCTCAACCTCTTCCCCTCTCCCCTTGTCAGTGCGTGAACGGCGCAGCAGTAATTGGGTTTAGTAAATGTTACTGACCGTAATTCCCAAGTCGTAAACGCAACCACCAATAACCGATTTGCTAGTAAATCCCTGCAAAATCAGTTCCAGTAAATTTTCTAACCCACAACCCCCTTCTGGCCAATCATACGTGTGTAATCGACCATAAATTTTCTAATTTAATTTATAACCGCTAGAGGTCCGAAAATGTACTAGAAACCCCTAAAAACCAGCTTTTTTTTCGTTATATAATAACCCCTAGTGAAATTATATTTTAACCTCTATCTACTACTATACCCTCTATTACTCTCTAAATTCGTTGCCGTTGAGTGTAACTTTGTGAGAAGGTTCTAATTATAATCCTCGTAGCTCTATTATACTTTCTAGTATTATAAAAACCCTTTAGACCTGCTAAATTAAATAATTAATAAAGTCTTTTTACTACGAAGGAGTTACTAAATAATTATATTAGGCGCTTTAGAAACCTAATTTATATAGGTCTCTGGATGTTTTATACTTTAATTAAATAGTTATACTACTATACTGGATTATTATTAATTAAATATTTATTTACTTATAAGAAGGTTTTAATTTTCCTTTTTGTAATTAGTTAGGGCTTTACTTTCTAGATAGCTAACTATTTACTAGGGTATAATTATAATTCTACTAGAAGGTTTGTTAATATAAGTAAATAATAATAGTAAGTATATAGATTTATTAATAAATAGAGTTTTTTATAAGGTATTCGATGTTTGTATTGTATTTGGGAATTAGAAAATTAGATTACCCCTATTATAAACCTTTAGCGTTATAGAAGGTAATCCGAAAACCTTTCCCTATTTCTGTAAGGTACTGGGAGCTCTCGATGGGTTATACTTTGCAATACGCTTATATACTAATATAGCCAAGCTGTAGCGTAACTATAAAGGAGGTTACTCGATTAACGTACTAGTTGTATATGATTTTAATAGTTATATTTTATATATATTACCGGGCTAGGAGGGGTTAATAAATAATTAGAAGGTATTAAATAATACTTTCAACCACTATGGAGCTTATAAATTTAATATACTATAAGGATAGTATTACCTTGCTAATGCTAAGTATAATTATAACTACCGATAGTATTACCTTTAGGAGACGGCGAAGGTAGGGTTTAAACTAATTAATAATGAAGAGTTTTTTAACCTTCGTTATAATTAAACCCGTATTATTATTAAGAGGGTAATTAATAAATTGAAAAGAACGTTCCGAGTTTACTATTATACGCTTTATTTCAATATTGATATATAGGTAAAGGTGATTTTTATTACAGTAGTATTATTAAATTAGCTTTTCAAATATAATAATATCTTTAATTAATATAATAATTTATTACGGGGTATAGTAACGTTAGACTAGGTAATGAAAAACGAGGTAGCGTATTTTTAATTGGTTATAAACGGGGATAGTAATATAGTACGGTTTAA